TTACTAGTATATAAATCGGAGCATGGCGAATCGGTGAACTATTTATAGACATATATATACCTGATATCGGAACAGTCGGACGATTTATAGAACTATGATCAGTAATTAACTATGAGCAGTAAGTAACTCTGAACAGAGTTTTTCTAAGAATTTTAGATAAAGACACCCAAAGTTCAATATAATTTATCGACATAAATATGACACTGAATATCATATGGATGACTTGACATTAAAAATCAATTTTTAAAGTATGTTTTAAAGTAAAATTCCTCAGATTTGCAGTATGTATAACTATTTAAATTCCTAGAAAAATCATACATATAACTAAAAATGGAAGTTTTTCGCCCAGTGTGTACATAGGTGTTCCCTTGAAATGCTAGTTCCCCTTCTCGATGGTCGCCCACACACCTCAAGAGCCAGAGAGTTCAACCTTTTTGGCCTTTTATTGCATTATTATTGGTAAATAAACAAAGCAACAAAAGAAGCAGACAAAGCAAACACAGGAGCAAGATGTGGGGGAGGAAAATCAATCAATGGAAATGGAAAATGCTGCAATTAGCGATGGAAAAGCGCGTCAGCGGAAGTCATTAAAAGGGTTGCCTTGGAGTGTGTCCCCTGTGTCCCTGTATCCCTGTATCCTGTGTGTCCTGTGACCTTGTCCGTGTCGTGTGCCGCCTAATTGTGCGGGGAAATTCAAAGTGAAAGGGGTAGGCGTCAGCGTCATCAACGATTTAAGGACTCGCGCTAGCCCCTGCCTTGTAATATGAGCTGACACGCTCCTGCAAGTCCTACGGAGTAAAGTGCCCTCTCTAAGCTGGAGAGGCTGTGTGTGTCCAGGACACCTGTCCTGGGAGATGTGCTTGAAAGCTGCGCAAAAAATACACAGAAAGAATATTTCAATGCTTGTATACTTCCTTTTCAGATACATCTTCCCTTGAAGGACATCCGAGGGAGTCACTCGGACCGGATGCCCTGGCATAAAACGAGGCCATCAGGATCAGGACCCCAACGTCTATCCTGTCTCCTTCACAAAAGCGGTCAGTCTGTAGCCAAACATAAATCAGGACTCACGACCGGACAATCGACGTCAACAATAAGTAACAATGATGTCAACTTGTAATTGAATTGATTGACAATATTTTATGCGCAAACAGAGGCTGCCAGAAGGAGATCCCTGGCCATCCAAGGACCCTTAATGACGAAATTTGTTTAGATTAGCATTACAGAGAGAGATGGAGAGTGAGAGCTGCCCCCCGGGGAACTTTTTGTTATGTGAGTGGCCATAAAAAACGATAAGAAGATTCAATAAAAATACTTTAAGCGGAAAAACAAACTTGAATGGCGATATAAAAAAAAGGGCAAGAAGAGAGAGAACCAGGGGGAAGGATACGCCCAGGCGATTGCGATTGAAAAAAGAAAGAAAAAAGGGAGAGCAAGGACATGGACAATATGTATTCTCTCCACTTTCCACTGCGCTTTTTAGCTAATGAAATCGTTTGCTAAATGAAACGTGAAAAGTCAAATCAAATGAATCCCAAGCCCAGGACCTAGGGGTTGTCCTGCCAGCGGAAGCGGAAATGTGTCGCCGTTCAGCGGCAGACAGGACCAAACAGGAGACGAAGGCCAAGCCAAGAAGCAACAAATAAACCCCGCAAATTGTAAACTGAAAAATTGGCAAATATTTTAAAATCCCATCTCGACTGCGGTTTCGCCTCAAAAACCAATTTAAATCCACTTGAAAATGGCCAGAAAGTTTACTCGATTTTCGGTCTTCCTCAATTCGCATTTGATGTGTGGCTAACTGTGTGTGCGTTTCCGTTTCCGGGAAATAGAAAATAGAAATAGAAATGGAGAGAAAACGGCGGAATGAGGCAGTCACTGCGGTCTGCACTTCGGAGCTGTGCGATTAATTTGCTGATTTATTTGCAACGGAAGGGTTGCTTAATTCCCGCCGACGGCCCTTTTCTTTTCCTATTTTTATAAATGTATATAGTATATATATATATATATATTTTTTCTTTTTTATTTATTTAGTCGTCCAGCCGCGGCATAAAACAAAGCTTTGTTTACTTTGCTTGTTGGAGAGGGTATTCTAGACATAAAATTAAGTGAGAATAGTATTTAATTTTTCTAGTTTTTAAATTCATATATCAAACAGAATATAAATATAATCAATAAAAGTAAAAACAATCCACTTTTATACAGACTTCTGCATGAATCGATAGAACTCGGTTAAATTTTAAGGAAGTATTTTCAAGTAAAAAGTAATATTCCAGGGTATCACTCGAACGTTTCATGAATAACGAAAACGGGAATATAATTTTCAGCCGGCCAAGCAAAAGTTTATCCTGGATGCCTTCGCTTTGATTCATTTTCCTTAGCTTTTCTTGGCTGTCTCTCTGTTACATATTTTTATACCCTTGCAGGGTATTATAATTTCAGTCAGAAGTTTGTAACGGAGTGAAAGACCATCTATGATTAGTAAATAACTGTGATCAGTAATTAACTATGATCAGTAAGTTTCTATGAGCAGTAAGTAACTCTGAACTATGACCAGAAAGTTATTATGATCAGTAAGCATCAATTAACATTAAGTAACTATGATCAGTAAATAATTATGATCAGTAATTATCTATGATCATTAGGTAACTATGATCGAACTATCTATGACCAGTATGTATGTATGTATGATCAGTCAATAACTTTCAACACTAATAAACAATGACATGCAACTTTTGTAACACAACACGTATCCGAGACATGGCCGGTAGAAGACACTTCGTTCCGGGGAGGTTAGAACCAGTTGGGAATCATATGCACAGATGTGCGAGATGTGTTTTGGAGCAAGAGAAAGCTATTTGAATGAAACTATGGAGTTATTCTTATATATAACTTTACTAGTATATAAATCGGAACATGGCGAATCGATGAACTGTATATAAACTTATATATAGCTGATATAGGAACAATCGGACGATTTATAGAACTATGATCAGTAATTAACTATGAGCAGTAAGTAACTCTGAAGAGTAAGTATCTATGAGCAGTGATTATCTATGAGCAGTGAGTAACTCTGAACAGTAAGTAAGTATGACCACTAATTAACTTTGATCAGTAAGTAACTATGATCAGTAAATATCTATGACCAGTAAGTATCTATAAGCAGTGAGTAACTAACTTTGAACACTAGTAAACAATGACTTGCAACTTTTGTAACACAACACATATCTGAGACATGGCCGGTAGAAGACACTTCGTTCCGGGGAGGTTAGAACCAGTTGGGAATCATATGCACAGATGTGCGAGATGTGTTTTGGAACAAATTTAAAGCTATTTCAATGAAACTATGAAGTTATTCTTCTATACAATTATACTGGTATATAAGTCGGAGGATGGCGAATCGGTGGACTATATATATACATATATATAGCTGCCATAGGAACAATAGGAAGATTTTAAGGGAAGTATATTACAACTTTTTTAGTTTTCAACAGATTTTCATTAAATTTGAGATATAGCCAATGTATATTAATCTTGAATTTTGTGTAAAATTTTATGAAAATCGGACAGCTATATCATATAGCTGTCATACAAACGATCGTTAAAAATAGAGGAGGTAAATGAAATGAAAGCAGGCATTACTTCATTGTTTTTTAACACACATAAATATATATAATTTATATTGCATTAATTCCTAGTGATCGAATTTCAATCTGCAAGGGTGTACAAACTTCGGTGTGCCGAAGTTAGCTTCCCTTCTTGTTTTTATTATTATTTTTATCCGCCGCTTTTGCATATGCAGAAAAGTTGTTTGTCGGATTCGCCAGCCAATTACTGCAATGAACAAACACAGGAGGAGGAGAGGAGCACCACCTCACATAAATATTCCCAGGCAGGACAGGACACAGCTCCTGCCCGACCACTGGCTAGATTTGTATACTTGTTGTCTGGTTATCGACTCGCTTCCGGAACTTAATGGCCTGAATCCTTTTGCTGCCTTGATTTGCCTCCCTGCCTCTAGACCAACAGTGCATTGGCCTGTGCCACGGCTCCTGGCCGAGGCTCTAACCCTTGCGAAAAGCCAAAGTTTTGAATGAAGTCATCCAAATACCAAGTGAATTGGTTAACTTTATAATACAATTCTATTTTTATAGTTTTGATTAATTTTTGGGCTTACAAAAACCTAGTTTTAATATTCTATGCTAAGTTTTAAAAAGCAAAGTTTAATAGATTTCCTTTCGAAAATATAAAAAGGGAATTCGAATTTCTAAAATAAAGATCTTTTGTAATGATATTTCTCTATTCAGTGATTATATTGTCAAAAAGTATATTAAAAACTATTAAATATGGTTAAGTAAGGGTTTATAAGAGTCTCCCATACATTTTTAAGGCTTTTCAGAACTTAAAACCATGGAATTTGATTCGATTCCAGTATGTAATTTACTAAACATCCAAAACTTTACTTCTTATATAAGAAAAGCCGACAAATTTAAACAAATATCTAAAAATTTAGAACCAAAATATACTTTTCCAAAGGTTTTTCATGCACTAAACTCGAATTTGACTTTAGAAAAACAAGAGGAAAAGGACATTGTCTCCCGACGAACTAAATTAGTTTTGGTTTTGGCAAAAGCCAACCAAAAGGACCAAGTATTTGTAATACAACTTTGGCAAACTTGGAAGAGCTTACATGTAGAAATTTTGGTATAAAATTATAATTTTGTATAATTTTGAACTGAACAAATCCACGTTTGATTCCTTTAGTCATTTAAAAGATATATTCAAATCATGTCATGGGATTATGTCAAAGGCTACACCTATTTCTTTGACTGTAAAATGTCCCTGCTCCTGAGAGTGAAGGAGTTGAAGCTCAGTTTCTCTCTCTTAAGGACCAATCGATCTATAAGTTTAAAACTGGAATAGGAATATAACACAAAGGACATCGCCACTTCTCACTTTCTTTTCATTTTTTTAACTGCAATTTTAATCGAAACGTTCATGTTTTTGTAGTGCCAAAATGTATAAAATGCGATGTCAACGGATAATTAAAGAATGTCTAAGGACATTTAGGAAAGCCAGATGGTACCGCCTCTAATCTGAATTGGCAAACCTGCGAGTCCAGCGGCGTGCTTGGGCCTCGTACTCCCTGCGATTCTCAATGTACATGGTGGCATGATCGAGCACCAGGGGATCGTCTGCATTGGGATCTGTCATAATCGATCGGATTCCTATCAACAATGATGCCACTGTTATGGCTGGCGACCACTCAGATTCCAAAATATCCATACATATCTCACCACTCAGCGTAATGTTGCAGTGAAATACGGGTGTGTGGAAAAATACCTCGGGCGGTTTAAACGGATATTGCTCGCCAAAGATGATTTCAAGATCAAATATCCCGCCCTCATAGGGCGTATTGGGTGGACCATCGATTGTTGCGTAGCAGTGGAACATATCATCCTCATCAATATCGATGCGACAGCCTTCGGGCGGATCTTGATCAAACTTGCAAAGTTCACGCTGAATCCGATATTCATCTCCACGCTCTCTACTTGTCCTGGCCCGGTTCCTGAGACGCTCTCTGCGGGATTCCAAATTGAATGACACGAATGGATTTCTTCGAGCTCTACGGGCGGCTGAGGCTTCGGCAGCTGAAGGCGATGCAGGTGCATTTTCTGGTGATGGCACATTTGGTACAGCTTCTGGAGCGGCCGCTGTTGCTGCTTCCCAGTTTATTAATGATCTTGAGGCGCCTGCTTCTGCTTCCTCCAAGTCCTCGGAGACTGGAAGCGATGCAACTCGGGCCCTGATCACTGCCCGGCTAGGCGGGTTTCGCGGACGTCCTTGTGACCCCATAACAGCAGGGGAGGATCTAGCAATATGCAATCCTAATGCAGCTTCTCTAGCGGCCCGGTTGGCGGCCCGAATTCGTCGGTGTCCTCGTGGCCCCATAATAGCAGGAGAGGATCTAGAAATACCCAAATCCATAGCTGGTTCACTAGCTTCCTGGTTATCGGTCTCAATTCGCGGACGTCCTTGTGACCCCATAATGGCAGGAGAGGATATAGAAATACCCAAATCCATAGCTGGTTCACTAGCTTCCTGGTTAGCGATCTCAATTCGCGGACGTCCTTGTGACCCCATAATAATAGGAGAGGATATAGAAATACCCATATCCATAGCTGGTTCACTAGCTTCCTGGTTAGCGAACTCAATTTGCGGACGTCCTTGTGACCCCATAATAACAAGAGAGGATCTAGAAATACTCAGCTCCCTCACAGCTTCTCTAGCGGCCCGGTTGGCGGCCCGAATTCGTCGGTGTCCTCGTGGCCCCATAATAGCAGGAGAGGATCTAGAAATACCCACTTCCAAAGCTGGTTCACTAGCATCCTGGTTAGCGGTCTCAATTCGCGGACGTTCTTGTGACCCCATAATAGCAGGGGAGGATCTAGAAATACTCATCTCGACCACAGCTTCCCTGGCGGCCCGGTTGGCTGCCCGAATTCGCTGCCTCAACCGGTCACTACGACGCCCAGGAGGAGGACCATCTTCCATTTTTATAATATTTCGATGTGGTTGCATGACTTTACGATCTGCTTAATTTTTTTGAAAATTTCGGTATAGCTCTATCTGATAAACTTTCAGTTACTATGCCGAACAGAGTGTTTAGTTCAAGCGTTTGACACAAAAGCCACAAATTGTGAGATGAAAATATTTCACAAGAATCAAACTTTAGCAAAACTATTTCCACAAACAATTCAAATCCGGAGCAAACTTTTAAGCAAGTCAGATGATGCAAAATGTACATCCGAAAATGGGTAAAAGCTTGGAAAATAAAATGCTGATTGAAGTTAACGTATTTTTTGTTATCAAGATTCGAGTTTAGCGCTTCAAAAACCATCAAAAAAGGCTGTTGGCCTAAATAATAATAAGGATTTTAATGATTTCAAATAACAAGGTGATATTAATCAAGTCCCCAAAACAAGTAAACCAGAGAAAACTATAAGGAAAACTATATAAGCAATAACAATCTTAACTGGCTTATCTCTCTCTCTTTTGGATACAAAAGAAGACCAATTTACGAGGATTCAGGATTCAGGATTCAGGATTACCGTTTCCTTTTTTGTGTGTTTATATTTTCCTTTGGTTCTGCTTTGTTTTTAATGCGCTTTTGATGAAGCCATCATGTCACATTACATCAAACCAAACCAAACAGGACACAAACAAAGCCAAACAATGGGCTGAATAAAAGCGACTATATGGCATATATCGGACGCACAGTCCTTGCGAGGTCCTGTGAGGGTGTCGAGCGGCGGCAGGAACAAGGATTTCGGCCATTTAGCAGCAGCAGCTCGAAATCTCATAAACACTTTGCTCTGGCACAAATTGAAATCTGGTTAGCACACAGGGCAAAGGACGAAGGACGACGGACAATGAGGGGTGCTAAACAAACATTGACACGGCATGAAACTGAGGCTGAGGATGAGTCTTCCAAAGGAAAATACTATAGTCGTCACACAAGAAGAAAATGGTACGTACTTGGAATTTAAATAAAATATACATTATAAGGACTTTGATAATATAAAAGGTATTCTTTGGAGTGTTTATATCAAAGTTTCATTTTTACTTTCTATATATAGTATTTATATATACTTTCTTTATTTCTCCCAGTGCCAAAAGAAAGGAAACGCAGTTCATGCGTGCAAGGGAAAGTGAGGCAAAGGACAAAGGGCAAGGATTCAGGATCAGAGAGAGAAATAGAGGGGGTTGTGTGTGGTTTCAGGGGGTCAGAGATTTAGATTTGTTGCAAACACAAACACATTTATTGGCTCGACAAACGTTTGGCCCTGATGCTTATTAGCTGACAATGTAACACAGCTCGTGGGACAAGATTCATGAGGCTTGTTCCTTAGATATATATATGTATATTCCTATTCCCAGGACCCAAGACCTGAGGGATTTCTTTATTGAATTTTTATGGCATTGTCGTAATGGGGATCGTTTAGCAGGAAGGTCGTACAAGACATTTACATGGACAAACGTAGCAACTTGCGACTATTTAAGAGGTATTTATAAATAAATATATAAACTATATCAAATCTAATCAAACAACTAAATTCATTTAGTTTTAGAACAAATCCCTGCCCCCTCTCAAGTGTCCATTGAGAACTCAGAGAGAGATAGAGCGAAAGAAAGCATTAAAAAAGTGAATTGCATTTGTCTAATCACAATTTATTGACCCTCAGCCTCGATGACCCAAGAAACGACGAAGGAAGGGATCTCTAGGCGATCCCCTTTTGGGAAAAATAAAAAGAAGAGTACAAGACAAAACCTGAGGGGCAGTGACGGGCACTCCATGGTTCTTTTGTGATGACTGTCATCCATGGACTTGCCTTTCCACATTCAACTTTTTAGTACTTCCTTGAGGAGAGAGCAGCCCAAGCACAATGGTTCGATGGCAATGTGTCATGCTTGTTGATTTGTAAGGATGTAAGAGGATGCAGTGCAGCCGCCGTTTGAATTGTATTTGACCGGAAAATCATAAAGCTCTTTTGTTGAAAAACCCAATAAAGGAGGAAGTCAAATCGAATCTGGACATGTTGAAATCAAACCGGAAATGTTGCCCAGTTGCATTTAATCTCTGTCTCGCTGCTCTTCGATTATAATCCTTCTTCTCTTTTAGTTTTTTATATTCATTTCCCTTCTTTTTTTTTGTTAGTTTTGAAAAGGCGCCGCTTCCGCCGCAAAAGTTGCTCCCATCGGCGGCGGCATCATTATTATGGAAAATTGTTTATAAGTTGACAGGCAGTAAACAGGATTTGACTTTTGGGCATCGGAAATGGTAATGCTAAGAAGCCCCAAGTTCCGAATTTAAGTCCAACTATGACAGGAAGTCATGTGTCTGTGTGTGTGTGTGGTCTGTTTTCCTATTTTTCCTGACATTATTCTTTCCCTTGATAATCTAGAGCAAGTGGAAAATCGAATATGGAAATCGAAGGGGGATTTAAGGTTAAACCATATGGCAAGACTTGTGTTTTATAAATTATTAATTGGGCTTAAATGAAATCTATATGTTTCAACTCTTTATATATTTCATAAGAAATATATGATAGAGCTAAGAAAATGATCTTTTTTATTATTATTTGTTTCGAATAATCAATAAATGCTATTTAACCAGAGTCCGTCTGTTCATTTGTCCATTTCTTTTTACTAATTTATTAAAATTAAGCTGTACGTCTTTTCTACTTGATCTCTCTCTACAGTAAACACTCTAAAATCTTCTTTTTCGAATACCTTTTCTATATATTAATACATTTCTGATGTGTATACATATATCCCCCAATAATTTCCGGCTCACTTGTTGGTGGTCTCCAGGTTTTCTGTGTGCAACCATGGCAAATGACCCATAAATGACACGCACACAAAACGATTTGCCGCCGCCTGAGTTGACATGACCTGACCTGAATGAGCAATGTCCGATCCGGGCACTATCTGTCCATATATATCTCTTAGTACCGGGTATATCCATCCGAGTCCACCCACCCATTCCTCCAAGCACTCGCCACTCATATGCACAGCCATATTGGCCATCACGTGCTGGTGTTTCTCTCCTTATGTTTGGAGCATATGTACGTACACCGGGAGAAAATAGTAGGCAAAATACTTGCGAAGAAGTCAAAATATAGAGATATAGGTGGGGAATATACATGACTTTTTGATTTGTATAATCGAAGTTAGTAGCGAAAGTTCTTGTAAGTATTTATATTATTTATCTTTCGCTAAAATTATAATACTACCTTTCTTTAAATTCAATTTTACCAAAAAAGTATATAAAGAAAGATAAAGCTTCTATATAGGAATTTTAGGAAATAAAAAATATATAGATTTTTATATCTTTGCAGGGTGTTTTAATTTTAGTCAGAAGCTTCTAACTTTATGAAGGAATAATTTCCGACCCTATAAATCATATATATTCTTGATCAAAACGAAAAGCCGAATCGATCTAGACATGTTTGGTAGAAAATATTTTTTTCCAATTTTTTTCTCAAATTTTCATCACTAAATTTTATATTGTTAAAATTTAGAAAATTGACAAAATTTTAATTTTGTAAAACTTAAAAATGCAGTATTCAGATTTGTTAATCTTATAAAAACTAGCACAGAACAGCTTTCCGAATTGAAATTAATGCATTTTTGGCTGCGTTATGAATTTTTTAAATTTTGATATCTCTAAAAAATTGTTATATAAAAATAATGATAAATTTCGGGCCAAAAATGGTATTTTAATTTTAGTCAGAAGCTTGTAACTCACGAAGGAGTCATTTCCGACCCTATAAATCATATATATTCTTGATCAGAATGAACAGCCGAATCGATCTAGACAAGTTTTGCAGAAAATTTTTTTTTCGAATTTGTTTGTCAAATTTTCATCACAAAATTTTATATTGTTAAAATTTTGAAAATTGACAAAATTTGAATTTTGTAAAACTTAAAAATGCAGTATGCAGATTTGTTAACCTTATAAAAACTAGCACAGAACAGCTTTCCGAATTGAAATTAATGCATTTTTGGCTAAGTTATGAATTTTTTAAACTTTGATTTCTCTAAAAAATTGTAATATAAAAATAATGATAAATTTCGGGCCAAAAATGATATTTTAATTTTAGTCAGAAGCTTGTAACTGACAAGGGAGCTATTTCCGACCATATAAATCATATATATTCTTGATCAGAATGAAAAGCCGAATCGATCTAGACATTTTTGGTAGAAAATATTTTTTTTCAATTTTTTTCTCAAATTTTCATCACTAAATTTTATATTGTTAAAATTTAGAAAATTGACAAAATTTGAATTTTGTAAAACTTGAAAATGCAGTATGCAGATTTGTTAATCTTATAAAAAATAGCACAGAACAGTTTTCCAAATTGAAATTTATGCATTTTTGTCTGAGTTATAATTTTTTTAATTTTGATTTGTCTAAAAAATTATAATATAAAAGTAATGATAAATTTCGGTACAAAAATGGTATTTTAATTTTAGTCAGAAGCTTGTAACTCACGAAGGAGTCATTTCCGACCCTATAAATCATATGTATTCTTGATCAGAACAAAAAGCCGAATCGATCTAGACAAGTTTTGTAGAAAATATTTTTTACGAATTTTTTGTCACATTTTTATCATTAAATTTTATATTGTTAAAATTTAGAAAATTGACAAAATTTGAATTTTGTAAAACTTGAAAATGTAGTATGCAGATTTGTTAATCTTATAAAAACTAGCACAGAACAGCTTTTCGCATTGAATATAATGCATTTTTGGCTGAGTCATGAATTTTTTTAATTTTGATTTGTCTAAAAAATTATAATATAAAAGTAATGATAAATTTCGACCCAAAAATGGTATTTTTATTTTAGTTTGAAGCTTCTAACGTCTAAAGGAGCCATTTCCGGCCCTATAAATCATATATATTCTTGATCAGATTGAAAAGCCGAAACGATCTAGACATGTTTGGTAGAAAATATTTTTTTCCAATTTTTTTCTCAAATTTTCATCACTAAATTTTATATTGTTAAAATGTAGAAAATTGACAAAATTTGAATTTTGTAAAACTTAAAAATGCAGTATGCAGATTTGTTAATCTTTTAAAAACTAGCTTTCCAAATTGAAATTAATGCATTTTTGGCTGAGTTATGAATTTTTAAAATTTTGATTTGTCTAAAAAATGTTCATATAAAAATATTGATAAATTTCGACTTAAAAAAGTTATAATTTTATTCAGAAGCTTGTAACGTGCAACCCTATAGGATTTTCTTTCAGTGTTTCAACACCAAGTCGAGCTTATCCATTTATGAGTGCACATTAACCATTATGATTTATCCACACACATGTGTGTGTGTGTGTGGGGGGAAAATTGGGTGGTGGACAAGGACACGAACACGGACACGGAGGACGAAAACGAGCGCCGTCCGGTAAGTGCCGCTGTGCATTTAAGTGGAAACTATAGATAATATTTTTATAGTTTCGCTGCCACCGATTGAGTGAGTGTATAAAGCAAATATATATAGATATAGATATGTATATAACTCTAGTCCTCTGATCCCTTTGTCTTGGTCAGTGTCTGCTTTGTATATTAAAATGTTGTCCGCATTGAAATTTATTTTTGCCGATTCCTTGATTTATGACTAAGCGTTTTCCCCACGATTCTTTCTCTTTTTTTTTGTTAGTGGCTGGTCAGCAAATGATGCGTCAGCGTTTAATTTCATTTTCGACATGTGCAGGACATTAAGGAGAGCTGGACAGGAGCAAAAGAGCCGCCTAATTGACAGATACAATTTGCTTTTATCCTGGAAATGGTCTGCCTTTGTATAGGAGCTTAAAGGTTTTTTTTTTTGGGGGGGGAAAACTTAGCAAATACGTGACTTTGGCTTGAAGTAAAGGATAACTCGGTGAAGGAGTTAAGATAGGATTTTATTTTATTTCAATTAAGCTGGAATATATTTAGCAATGCTTTAGGAGATGTATAAAAAAAAGAAGAGCTCTTTTTTGTGGGTCCTAAAAGTCTGCTATAAAAAAGTACCTGGTAACCAGGGCCAGATTTCTGTAAGGCCTCCACAAAAAATCTCCATCTATAGAATACTTAATAAACAAAAGCCTGAAGGGAACCCCAGCTACCGTTCTGGCCCTGCCTCTCCTCATTAGCCTCGAGTACATCAATCATCGGCTTGTTTTAAATTAAAAAAAGAAAAGAATAAAAAAGCAACAAAAATCACTGCTCATGCTGTTCGCATCCCTGTGGCGTGGCATGGACACTTAATTAAATCCTCGGCCACATGCCACACCCAGCTCTCCGCCCCTCTCCCCCACTCTGAGGCACTTCATCCCCCTTTTTCTGGAATCTCTCGCTCGACCAACCACGTCCGGAATCCCGCCCACGGAAAATGGGTAGAGCAGCCATCATCATCATCAGTGGCGCCGTCTCTTTCGTTCTCCTTTGGGGGAAATTTTTTCCCACTCGAGGGAAATTTCCCGCTGCTCAAGGAGCCCGCCATTTTGAGAGTTTTCCTACCTTCCCCCACCTCCCCACCTATTACCAGCAGAACCCATTTCCCCTCGCTCACTTCCTGCAGGACTTAAAAAAAAAACCAGAGAGAGAGAGAGTTCCTTCCAGCGAGAAAAGAGATTGATCTATTTTAATAAGGCAGCGTTGCGACGGCTCAGAAAATTTTGATTACAAAAAATGCAAATTGCTAAAGCTGTAAAATTTCAAAAGAATTTTTAATTTATTGCCACCAAATCCGTGGTCTTAAGGCGGCGCCGGCCTTAATTAAGGTTATATGACAGGGTTGGGCACCGAAAGCCAGGCTCGGGAGCCACCCTCGAAGACAGAAGACAGACAGAGGGGAATAGGCGAAGGGGAAACGAGAAACAAATTCCATTCGCATTTCCAACTTTGCGATTTGTTTTCGTATATCCTTGGCGATTGGTGTGTTGATTTTATTTTCTGTAAAAAAAACTCTTTAAGCAAGCCAAAAGAGGCTTTCAAAAATGATATAGAAATTCAAAGTGAATTAAAGAAAACAAGCATTATTTTAATTGTTTCAATTGCCTTTTGTTTTTAAGCATATTTTGTTCTTTATGGTTAGATCGTAGAATGAATCGTTGACAGAAAAAAATACAGTTTGTTTGCTGTTTAAGTTAAGTTATCTGATATAGTTGGAATAAATAATTATATATACTAAAGCTAAAGCTAGGCCGGAGACCTGCTCTTCATCTCCTCTCTATCGTTAACTTGATCTTTATCTCTATAGTGTATGCTTCATCGTCGCCTAATAATCATTTCTCTGCGTGTAAAAATAAACTCTGTAGCTCCACAAGCAATAAACAAAACCTATTCTACCGACATACAGTGGAAAAGGAGGTTTAGTGGAAGCCTGATAGGAGTAAACAACCTTCAAAGCTTCTCAGTTCAAATAATAGATAAACCTAACCTAAAGGTTAAAATCAAAGAAACCACGAAAAATAATGATACAAACAAAAAATCTATATAAAGGTGACCACTGCACATCGGCAAAAACACAGAAAGAAAGGCAGGTTTAAAAGAACAAAAAAATGTAAAGGAGAATATACAAAAAAATAATAATAAAAGTAATAAGAAATAGATAAGATAAATATGTATATATAAGAGGAGGGAAATAATAAAAAGACTTAGTTGAAAAAACAAAAGAAAAATTATAAGAATGAAAAATGAAAAAGAGAACTTACAACAACTACAACTACGCCTTCTGCTCTTTCACTTTCTCCTTCTATTTCTCCACTACATTATTCTTTCATTCGCTAGGTCTCAAAGTACTTGTAGATCGCCGTCACATACGACATGACCTGCATCCAGTCGGGACGTTCGATCTGGCACATATCGTTGATGTTCTGCAAAGTAAATTACAAATAGATTAATCATAAATTCGAAAATAAATCCAAAGTAAATCATAAATAAACCAAAAATAAACCAAAAACTCCAATTAATACGAGAGAACAGCGGGAAAGGGTAATGGAATACCCACCAGAGTGGTGCCTATTCCCACAGACTCGGCTGCAGCAAAGGCCAGCGAAAAATTGCGACGCTTATTCGCCGGACTGAGTTGATCGTAGGGAATGCGATCGGGAAGATATGAGTGCAGGATTGCGCAAAAGGCCAGCCCATCGTTCCACGAGGAGCTAAAGTTCGTGATGTCAATGTTGCGATAGCCAACTGTCTTGTTCTGGCACCATTTCAGCAAAGCGTTGCGCTTGGAGCCGCCGTTCGTTATGAGCATATTGAGCGGGTCCTTACGTTCACCTGTTAAATCAAAGATTAGCGAAAAATGTAAATAAACAAAGTTGTACAACACTTTACCACTTATAAAAGACTTTGAGACATTGCCAAAGGGCCCTAGTCCACTGCTGCTGTTGCTACCCGCACTGCTGGGCGTGACCGGCGTTGAAGGCTGGGATACATTTTGGATCTGGATCTGCATTGGATTCTGATTTTGACTCTGGCTCGTCGCCGTTTGCTGCTGCAGCTGCTGCTGTGGTGGCGTCTGTTGTTGTTGCTGCTGCTGCTGCTGATCGCGCAGCGCCAATGTGGCTTTGGTAGTGCTAGCTGATCCTCCTCCTACTCCGCTTCCAGCTGGAATATTTACACCAGTCCCTCCGCTGCCCACGTTCACATGCAGGTTACTGCTCTGCAGTACAGGCAAGCGAAGCTGTAAGAGGATCCATAGTTAGATTAGTGATTCTTTCATTTGATTTAATTAAACTCACGCTTTCGTGCCAATCACTGGATGGTGGCAGGATAATGGGCGTGTTTCCCAGCTCTGGAGTGCCGCTATTTAGGCTGGACGTGGAACTGTAGTGGGACTCTGCCTCGTCAGCCTTGCCCTGCTAAAGGGACATACAAATAGGTCAGCAAAAAATGATTCATTATCTTACTAATGCCACTTACCGGCTTGTTGTTCTCGATGCTCTCGATCAGCGTCTTAACAGAGAGTCGGGAGTCCTGACGGCTGAAGCTTAGCTTGCTGCGCCGTGTGGCCAACTCCATTTCACGCTGCACCGTCGACAGCACCGACTGCGGCGTCTCCGACTGCTGCAGTTCTGCTGGAGAGTGGGAAAACCCAAAAGAAGAACAAGTTCAGTATGTAATCAAAAGAATATTTCATTGGATACTCACGCTGCTTGGTGAGCTTATCGAGCTGCTGCTCGAGCAGTCGGATCTTCTCCTTCTGGGTCTTGTTGTCGAGCACGAGCTGCTCCCGGGCGCTGAGCGCCTCAGTCTTGAAGTCATTGGCCACGCGCACCGTCATCAGGAGATCGGCCTGGAATTGCTGCCACTCCTCGCCCTCCTTGCGGCGCAGCTGTGTCTCCTGCTCGAGCCGTCGCTCCGACTCGCTCAGCTGCACCTGGACATCGCCCAGATGGCGCTGGGTCTCGCTGAGCAATGACTGCAGCTGGCTCTTGTCCTCCTGGTGGCACTTGCACTGCACTTGCAGTTCAGCGACACGTTCCTCCAGGACCTGCCACTCGCCGGCCAGCTTGTCTTTGTCGCGTTGCAGCTGCTCCAAGCGGTACTCGAGATTGGAGACGGCGCACTTGGCATTGTTCTTGGCCACCTTGCACTCCTCGGTCAAACCGGAGAGCTGTTCGCGCAGCCGTCTCAGCTCAGCTTGGCTGCGCGAACATTGATCCTGCAGCTCGGCCACACGCTCCTCCAGGGCGTCCTTCTCCTTCCTGGCCGCATCGAGCACATCGCTGAGGTCCGTCTTATCGCCTCTGGCCAAATCGGCTTCCAGCTCCTCGATCTTGGACCTCGCATTCTCCAGCAGAGTGCTCAGCCGACTTATCTCGATGGCTCGCTGAGAGATCTCCTCCTTGGCCTGCGAGAACTGAGCTTCACCCTGGCGGCGCTCCGCATTCGCCGCGTCCAACTGAGAGTCGAGCAAGGCTATTCGATCCCTCTGACGCTGCTGCTCCTGCTGGGCGACCTCTCGCGCCTGACGTAGCTCGGCCAGCTCAGCGCTAAGTTCCTCCTGCTTGAGCAGCACCGCTTCTCTCTCCTCCTGCGACGTCTTGATCAGGTCCAAGAGCTTCTGCTCGCGCTCTGTGGCGCTCACCTCCGAGGCGGCCTGCTTCGTGTCGCGCAACAGGAGCTCCTGCAGTGTGCTGATCTGCGTGCGTGATTCGTTTAGCTTCTCGGTTTGCCGGCAAAGCGACTGGAAGAGCACATCCTTCTCCTCGGCCAGACGCTCGTTCTCCGTCTGTGTGTCCGTGAGCTGGGTTTGCAGATCGGCCAGCTCCTGCAGGGTGGCCTGTAGTTCTTCGTTGGTGGAGTAGTGTGTCTCCTCCATTTGTATGATCTTGTCCTGCAGACAGGCTACAGAGATCTCACTGGACGACGACTGTTTATCCCAGTCGGGTGTAAGGCAGGGTGTGCCATCCTGCGCATCGTTTGTCTGGAGGTAGGAATTATTCAAAGAATTAGTAATCTTTGGGAATATATCTAAGCTGCAACACTCACATTGGGCAGGGCAATCGAGGCGGGCGCCGAACTGTGCAAACGCTGCGAGTCTTGTATAATCTGGTGCTTCTCCGCATCCGACAGCGGCGAGTTCACAACGTCCCGCAGCCGATTGCGCAGAGATTCGTTCTCGTATCTCAGGTTGCCGATCTCCATCTGGGTCTTCTCCTGTTGACTCTGAAAGCACACACAAGAAACATTGGACTGATCAGTTTAGCGTTTGGATTTCCCTTTAAGCTGCTGCCGCTAAAGCTGCTGCTGCTGCTGCTTCTACTCATCTACGACGCAAATCTGTCTCTATACTGTCTTTGTAGACATTAATTAAAGGACTGAGAGTGCATCGCCTATAAAACGTATTGAATATCAATGGATGGGTTTAGGCGCTAGCCAAGCGCAACGCCCCCGGATAGATGGATTAAGTTATCCGTAGCTATTGCACAGCTTTATAGTGGTTTTAAGACAGACAGACAGACAGACAGAATGATCCTATTCTTTTGACTACTTTTAGAGCTTACTCATTCTCTCTAGCTACTAACTATTTAGTATATAAGTAATTATAACTTAATCAGACGCATTCCCTCTCTTCGTTAGCGCACCTGCAACTTAACTAGATCGCCCTTCAGCTTGGCCACCTCATTTTGATATGGCAGAAGCTCCATGATGCGTGTCTCCAGCTGCAGTTGCTCGCTTGCATTACTGCTTCCATTGTTCACCGGCGGAGCAGGTGCTGGTGGCTTGAAGCTCGCCTGATAGGGAACAGTCACCGGATCGTTGGTCTCCTCGATGCTACGCATCGTTGTGGGCGGCAAGGTGGACGTTGTTAGCGTTGGAGGGTTCTGAATGCCATCAAAGGTGCCATGCTGCAAGGAAATGAGGTGATATAGTTAGTTAAGGGTGGTTTATATGTGGTATATTATGGATTTTAACAGGTTTAGATATAAGGGAGGAATGTATATTCAACATATCATGAATATGAATATATATATTGATACATTGATCACTCAATATATTGATTTCTCAATATTTATAATTATTAGTTAATTTATTAATAATAAGCGAAGATTCCTTGACCTTTTGATGTTCTAATAAGTTTCTAATTTGAGGATAGATGATTTTTTTAATGAGATCATGTTCCTAAAATGTGTAAGAATCTATTTCTATAGTTCTTTTCTTTTCTGATCTTTTAAGTGCTGTTTTTGATTACATTTTCTTTAACCTCTTAGTAACCCGTATTAATTTGATCACCTGGGCAATGATGCTGACGAATTCGAGTTCATTTGAGCCATGTGCTGTAAAGAATCCTGTGTGGGTTGTTGTGGTACCTTCATTACCAACTTTATAAGTTTGTTTGAGACATTATGCGTTCTACCATTTTGATGTTTCATCATTTGCTAGATTTGGTTTCGTTCTCTTCCTCTTTTAGACAAATAACCTAATCTTCTGCCTACGCTTAAATATTAAGTATACGCAGTGGCATTGCGTATACGCACAGTGGGCGGCTGACTAATATTGGTTATGTAAAAAACAAATAACAGAAATTGAGTCTTGTTACCTTGCTACTTGTTGCCGGCGGCTGAGAGCGTGCTGGGCGCACATCCTGCGGCAGGATCTTCTTCTTGTGCGGCAAGTGCAAACCCATACCGAAAGGCATGCCCGGCGGCAGTTGTTCCTCGCCAAGCGCCGGCTGGTCGCCCATCATCATCTCCTCCTTCTGCTCTTTGAGCACCTTCTCCTTCTCCTTCTCCTCCTGCTCATGCTCCTGCTGCTGGCGAGCCGCAGTCATTCTGGACTTTTGCTGCTGCTGTTGCTGTTGCTGCTTGTGCGACGAGTTGGAGGAATTCGAGCTGGAGGTGCCCTGTCCTCTACGGAACAAGGATTTCAGTTTGATCATGTTGGCGGACAATTGGTTATCCTTGCAGAACGTAAACCATCAAAGGAACTTCCTTCCACTTTGAGCTGCGGCACTTCGGGTTGATTTATCGTTTTATCGGTATGTTATTTGTCGGTTATCGCGCTTTATCGCTTTTCGGCTCATTAACAGTTATTCCAACATTTTTATTATCACAATTTGCTCTGCTTTCTTTTAGTTGGAAACAACAAGAAAAAAAAAAGTGAAATTGACGACGATTGAGTGAGCGAAGGAGAGCGGCAAGGCAAAGATGATAAAGTGGCATGCAACAAGAAACCAACTTCGAACAATCGTATTGCATTGTTGTCGCCACAAAAGGGAGGGGGAGCGAGAGAGATAGAGAGCCAAATCAAAACAAACACACACACACAGTCACGGCCACAATCACAGTCGCAGGCACTCAATTAATATGCACTCGACAAAACCGCGACGATCATGAAATCGAAATTGAAATTCTGGAAAGTTATCCGCAGCACGGACAGAATGCCGGATCCGACGGTCATATCTAGAGATTTGTATGTTGTGCCCAGTGCCAGAGAGAGAGCACGATATTGAATGAGCATTAAACGGTTGTTGCGGGAGGGGGGGGCAACGGGGGAGGGGCAGCAGAATGAATCAAACACGACACGACACGACAGAATCAACGATAGCAACAACACCGTTTAATTGTTTGCACCAGATAACTGTAAAAGGGATTTCTTTCGCACTCTCATTCGTCAAAAAAGAGAGAAAAAAAAAAAAAAGAAAAACCGGAATACGCCAACAAAACAAATAGCCAACTCTACACGAATACTAACGCACACAGTGTTAAACACTGACTCACACGCACACGTACCGAGCCGAGGTTTTACTTCATTTTTTGTGCAGTACTTTAATATATACATTTAATGTTGCACAGTTCGGGGAATAACAATAATATAAACTTAAGCGTAGAGACGGCGGAAAGCGATGGGAACAACGCATGCGCGACACAAAATAAAACAAACGAATCAACAAAAAAAAAATAAGTGACGCGCGTTTTCGTTTCTGCAAACAACAACAAGTGCAGTGTGACCGTGCCGGGGGTGTTAGATAATACTTCATTGTCACTTTAATCGATTTAAGAAAAATACTATATGGAAAAAGGAACAAGTTACTATTTATCGTCATCTGTATAAGAAAACTGCTTTTAAAATTCTTATTATATGAAAAAGACCTTTTAATTTCAATCTAGAATACATTTCTAGGAATTTTTTAAATATTTGAGTTAATTATTTGACAAAAAAGCTAAAACCTTTGCGCAATCGCTGTTATCGTTGATCGTTGGGCAAAAATACCACACTCCATATCCCTAACTTCGCCGCCAGAGGGCGCTCTAACTGCAGCCTTATCCAGCCCTGAGCGCGCCAAATATTTTGAAATTCAAATCAAAAGCTTAGTGATTTGGCTGACAATGGTTTATTTAAAGTTTTTGAAATATTATTGCGACCAAATGAAAAGAAAAGTAATTTTTGCACAAAAATACAATAAAAACCAGAATTTAGGATAGATATTGCCGATAAAATCAATGTAAATATTGAATAATTAGGGTTTATTGGCCTTTGAAAGGCCTTTTACGTTACGTTTTTTGGTCGAAAAAAAACCTTAAAAACGCGATGCGAAGCTCTCATGGCATTAAATGACAATTCATTTTCTATATATTATTTATATATCTTCAAATTGACTAAGAGAAAACCCGGTTTTTTCTTTGTATTTAAGCTTGGATTTCATTTGATATTTTGGCTTTCAAAAGACCGTCTTAAATGGGAAGTTTTCTTATATTTTTATACCTTTATATTGTAAATGCCAACTTTAAAGATTGTTAGTTTCTCTACCCAAAAATGTGACCTAAACCTACACCTTTAAACTCATAACTGACTTGATTTCAAATTAGATTGCAAAGTTTCATAACTCTAAAGCTATTTAAGGAAATTCTTAAGATTATTACACATGATATATTATACATTTAATGGTGCATCTTATAGGGAAAGTCAAACTAAACTTGAAATAAAAGGAAATCCCAAGTATATTTAAGAATAATTATCCTTTAAAGTATTAGAAGAGTTTACTAAAACTTGATCTCAGATACGATTCTACATTCTTTCGATTCCCTTCCCGTCAGTGTTGTGGCTTTTCTTCTCTCGGCTTCTTCTGCTGCTTCTTGAGCGTAAGCGTGGGGCTTATCAGAAAAGCAACAAACGGCTAAAGAAACCGCAAGAGGCAGCAAAGCGCGTCGCTCGTTTGCGGTTTTCTGCATTTCTGCCTCTTCCACGTTTCTCTCGGCCTATCTCCCCCGCCCCTCTTCTATTATATTATTACTTTTTTTTCTTTCTCTCCACGTTTCTCTTTTATGATTTGTATTGTTTGTGGGCTGTGTGTGTGTGTGTACGTACGTTTGAGGTCTATGACCAAAAAGCCAGGCCAAAACAGCGCTTATCGTTACCGCTCTCCCTCTTCATACCGCCCCCCCCCCTCAACTTTTCCCCATTTTAGCCATTTTCCCTCCCCCCCACCCCACACCAACCATTAATCGTGGCGCCCCTGAAAATTCAACTTGAACTGCGCGATTTTCTAGAAAATATCTTGGAATTATTAATATAACTTATTAATATAATATTAATATAAAAGATTAAATTTGAGGATAAAAAAATATTCACATTTTTTGAATTTATACTTTTATATGAAAACTTGTTCAACAAATCAAATTTTTAAAATCGCATAACTTGGCCAAAATGGCATCAATTTCAATTCTGTAAGCTGTTCTGTGCTAGTATTTATAAGGTTAACAAATTTGCATACTAAGTTTTTAAGTTCAACAAAATTTAAATTTTGTCAATTTTCTAAATTTTAACAATATAAAATTTAATGATAAAAATGTGACAAAAAAATCGAAAAAAAAATATTTTCTTCCAAACATGTCTAGATCGATTCGGCTGTTCATTCCGATCAAGAATATATATGATTTATAGGGTCGAAAATGAATCATTTTGACGTTAGAAGCTTCAGACTAAAATTAAAATACCATTTTTGTACCGAAATTTATCATTATTTTTATATTACAATTTTTTAGAGATATCAAAATTTTAAAAATTCATAACGCAGCCAAAAATGCATTAATTTCAATTCGGAAAGCTGTTCTGTGCTAGTTTTTATAAGGTTAACAAATTTGCATACTAAGATTTTAAGTTCAACAAAATTTAAATTTTGTCAATTTTCTCAATTTTAACAATATAAAATTTAATGATAAAATTCGGAGAAAAAAATTTTGAAAATTGTTTTCTCCCAAACATGTCTAGATCGATTCGATTTTTCATGCTGATCAAGAATATATATGATTTATAGGGTCGGAAATGGCTCCCTTAGACGTTAGAAGCTTTAGACTAAAATTATTATACTAGCTTTAATACAAAAAAAGTAAATTATATAGGAAATAAATAACAAAGAAGATAAATATAATAATACTTTTTTAACTAAAACCCAAGCTTAAATGTCACCACTGTTTGCCACCTGAGAAAACCCGTGGTCAACCGCCAGTTAAAAAACTTCAAAACTTGACCATTCATTCGCTCCTGACATATTCAAACAAAAAGTATATAAAAAAATAATTGTACAAAATAAAAATAACACTCAAAGCTAACCAGAAGTTTGCAGGGGAAGGGGGGAATCCCCTACGGGCATTCACTTGTGAAAAAATAAAGTACAAAAGGGGAGGGGAAATGGGGGGCAACGCGTTGCCTTTCAGTGGCTCTGTGAATTTCGTGTTTCTTTATGAAAATGTTACGCTTTGGCGCGTCAAGGAATTGTACGCTATAGTCCAATGATTCGGCCATATCGGCCATATGGCTGTGGGAAAAAATCACGAACGATATCGGATTGCAAAAAGAGATAATTGTTAACAACAGATCGGTGAGAATCGGTTAACAAATAACAACTAGATATAGGTGTGAGTGAAATAAGGTGAAATATATAGCTTCCCTAAGTCTAAATTCATCATAGATCCATTTTCAGAACTTGAAGGTTACCAAGGAAAACTTTAACTAGCCTAAAAACTAGATATAAAGCGAAAGGAAATGAAGAAATGAACTAAAGATACTTCGGAAGATTCAATTAATTCCATAATTAACCATAATTACTCATATATTCGGTAGATATATAGATAAACCTATCAATTAATTAGGCCTGGGAATTATAGTGATAACATTTCCCTATGAATACTTATAAACGGAAGCAGACAATACGATATCAGAGTAAAAACGCTGATGGTCCATTTGATTATACAAAAAAAAAAAGCAGAGATTATTATCAGAAATCGGAGAAATGATTACCGAATATTTATGATTAATAAATATATGAAATTTCGCTTGCTGATAAACGATAAAGAAGCGCTTTTAATCGATATTAAATCTGAAAACCATATTTAACCGTTATCTGTGATCAAAGCGACTCATCTCTAACAGAACATTTTTAACATATTTTCTTTGTGCTTCAGCTGCAGCGCACTGCGCAGTCTCTGCAGCCACAGCTGACGTCGGAGTCGACGTCGACGTCGGCGCTTACCGTTTTACCGCTCGAATTATGCGCTGCTCTCCTTTTGATATGTTTATGTTTGTGTTTATCGGCCTTTGTTTCGCTGTGCCGCCGTTCGCTGCCAGCCATATGTTATATTGTTAAATTGTTATTGTTGCATTGTATAATTTGTTGTTTTCTTAAGCTTTGGTTCGTAGTTTGTTTTTTTTTTCTCTTACATTAATAGAAACGCGCCGGCGACAAATAAATTATTTTTAGAAAACGGTTTCATTTTCGCTCGCCGAAATGTAAACTTTTTCCCCGCTCGCTCGCTTAAAAAAAAAAAAAAAAAACAATGTAGCTCGTCTTTAATGCATAAACATTTATGCGTGGCTTCAGTTTCGGTTTCAGCTTCTTTCCTTTCGTTATACATTTATTTTTTTTATTTAACTCAAAGTTGGAAGTTTAGTTTTCTTTGTTGATGGTTTACGTTTTGCTTGTGGCTTTTTGCCGTTGTTTTTGTTGCTGGCTTAGAAGCAGAAAGTGGAAGTTTCACTTTGCCGGAATTATATAATTAATGCGATTTTAATAGTTTCCAAAAAACCAGCAACAACAATCTGGTTCAAAAGTTAATATTTCTAATTTCTATTTTCTTTTTCTACTCACCCTTCGTCCCGTTGGGAATGTAAAAGAGAATAACAGTAATAGGAGCAGGAAGCACGGCGATAATCAATCAAACGGTTCTTTCTCTCCTCCTGGCTTGCTCTCCTTCTTCTTCCTTTCGCTGTTCTTATTGTTGTTTTATGCTAGCAGTCTCCACTTTTTGGTATGCGTACGTTTGTATTTGTGTGTGACTCTTGCACATTTGATTTTCTGCTATTGTTATTGTTAAACGAAACGAGAACAAGAACAAAAATAACACCAAGAACGCTACAACAACAAAAAAAACTGATCATAAACTAAGCCACCGAGAATGCAGCGGAATGAGGCACACAAAAAAAAAACAGAACACAACGCAACGAACAGCTGCATTTGCAGCAGACAGCGCAGCCGTTAATTACATTAGAAATTCGTAAGCGGCAACAATGGAAAAAATGCAACTAATTAGCAATTATATGCGGCTCTTTGAACATTTCTTTCTGTTTCGGTTTCTGCTTCTTGTTTCTGTTTTGCACAAATTCCAATTAGATGAGCGGCCGCCGCCATCTGCAAATGCCATTTGTTGTTGTCGGCCGATGGGTCCCGTTATTTCGCATCGCACAGCGCGCGCGAGAGAGAGAGAGCGAAAGAGAGGTCGGTGCAACTAGAACGCCAAGAAGCGGTGCAATTCGGCGAGAGAGCGCGACAGAGACAAGAAAGATGACCTCGCCCGATAGGCAATTAATATTCATTTAGTTTTTTGTCACAATTAAAAAAAAAAACAATGTGCCTTTGCAATTGGATGCTTCGGCTGTGCTGCCTTTGCCGCGGCCCCTGGCGCTGCAACTGCTGCGTTGCCCTGTCGTTGTTGTTGCCTGCCTTTGGTTTGCCGTTTTATTTTTAGATGCAGGAAAGTTTTCACCGGAGGAGAATCGATCTCCGCTGCATTTGCGGCTGCTGGATGAGGGTTCGCGAGGGGTCGCGCTATTATCGCTGTCAATATTATTACGCTTGTGTTATTGTTGTTATCGCCCACGATCCGCGGTTAACGTCGCGACGCGCTTCTTTTTTTAGTTTGTTTGGCTTAGTGTGACCGGAGAAACAAAGTAACCGAAACGTCAAAGGCAATACAGAAGCGAAAAACGTTCCTACTATTGTTGGTTGTGAACTTTGCTAATCAGTTTCCATGTATCGATATATCGATTATAAATATCTCCCTACGGAATATACACAATTTTTATTAAGGTAATATTAATTAAATTAAACTTTTCTATTTTTTAGAACTTACTAAAGCCTGCAAACGTTATCATTTCTCTAAATTTTGAAAACGTTGTCGACCAGTCCAAGTCATCGATGTATCGATTGCATACCGATTATGCCGTCCCCATTGCGCGGCCATTTCTTAAATGTAAGCTCACGTTACTTAAATTCCCCGCTACAGTTTCATTCAATTGTCAAAACTTTTCTTTTGCTTACAACATGTCTTACGCGTATTTTGATAATGTTTTGCGAGAGGTTCGAGTCTTGCTGACTGATACCCCGGCATCTCTTATCCGGGTTCTCAGGGCCTATAAGAAGAAATATGGAGTTCTGTTGCCGCATCGCAGGCTGGGCTTTTCGACCCCAGAGGAGTTTCTCCGCACATCGGGCGAATTTAACATGTTTAAGCGCGGCAATGAGGTCTTTATCAGCGCAAAACCCGACGATGCCAACGTCCCTTCTATGAGAAGCAGAGCCGAACGGATCCAGGAGCTCATGCGTCGTCAGGCTATGGTAAGGGTTGACACCGCCCTGTAACCCAACGTTCCTTTATAGCCCTATCCCGCATGCAGATCACAATTGTGACCAGGCGAAGACCCGGACGCCGTCGTGGGTGATCTGCGAAGGTTGTTGTAAAGGTGGGGATACACAATCTGAAGAGGATCCCGTGCATGACGATCTCTTAGCTGCCATGATTTAATGTAACTTGTCCAGTGAAAAGCCTGATGCCTTTGTACAAAATGGTCTGAATATACTTATTATAAATAAATAAACAGTTTGACATTAATATATACAATATTGTCCACCGACTTCTTATGCACAAGCTTTAATGGCAATGAACAAATGATTTCTTGGCAAAAAAAAGGATTATAAACTAAGAGTGTCCAGTCAGAAGTTACTCTTTGACGCGCTGCACCTCGCTGGCGTCGAATGGGATCTCCTCCACCTTGGTAAAGCCCTGGAAGCGAATGATCTTGCCGGTGCCCTCCACCTTGAGATGTTTGGCGAACTGCTGTGCCGGCGAATCGGCCAGATCCTCCTCCGACTTGTAGCCATAGAACTTGGCCCAATCATTGCGCCCGGTATAGACCATGTAGCAGACAAGGCCGAATGCCTGCCATGCCAAAACAGCGTAGCCGATACTCAGGCGCCGCTTCCACAGCTCGGCCCGGTGCTCCGGTATCGGATTCGTGTTGCGTCGCACCCAGCGCCGCAGCCATTTCATCTCGAATAGCGCCATGTCGTCGATAAACACAGAATTCCTATTGGTTTCCAAATAAAAGGTTATATAAAAAGAAATGCCAAGCGAAATGCGAGAGACGAGAGACGAACCGTAAACAAACTGAATGTAAACAGCTGATTGGTGTGGCAGTGCTGCCAGACCTAAGCGAGGTATTAGAACACGACGTTAACCCTTCGGCTGACGCACGTCATTTATGTGTGCCGCAAGCTGAGTTTAAATTCAATTTTTAAATGAATGGCCTACTCTAAACTTGTCTATGTTATTATTATTAATTTAATTTATAAAATATGTGATGTATGAAATTAGATAAAATTGTAGACCATAAATATGATATATATTTCATAAATATTTTTATTAATTTATTGATTTTTAATAGCTTAATTAACGTATAAATTTTTAATTTTTTCTTGCCCATATATAATATATTTAATAATTACACAGAAAGCTAGTAAAATGAAATACAAAATTTATCCCCATCCGAAAACGAAGCTTGCATTGCCCTTAAAGTTTTTCATTAGGTTTTACATTGCCGCTCAGTTCATTCGTATACGTGTATATAAATTATCAAAATCTTTTTTATCGGAGCATAATTATTATACGAAAAAATAAAATATATTTCAGTTGAATTTAACCCTTACTCGGCCGTCACGTGGAAACCGCGAGTTAAGTTTAGAACCTATCGACACCGCACATAGTCTGGCAACACCGAACAACCGTGTCAACACTCAACGGTGCTTTGTGAACAGGCGATTGTTGTTGCTGGGCCCCTCTGCTCCTCCAAAAGATAATCCAACTCCGATCGGGGCAAACAAAGCCGCCAAGCCAAACGGTTTCTTTTCGCCAATCTAGAACGGGAGACCAGTAATCACAACGCCAGAGCAGAGCCAACACAGAGCAGCAACGAACTGAACTGAAGACAGTTGGCGCTGGGCAGCAGGAGGAGCGAGGAGCGAGGAGCGACGAAGACCGGGTAGAACCTTCAGGAAATTGCACACCTTTCGCAGAGCAGAGACTACTCCGACCAGGCAGGCGGGCAGGCTAGGCCAGGAGACCGCCTAGAGGCTTACTGGAGGTCGTCAAAAGGTTGGTCTCCGAGTCCGAGTAAGTAGTGCGCCTGACGATGTTTCCTTTCACTGCCTCCCCTGTCTTTAGTGCTCATTGTTTTTCCTTCCCCCTTTTTCTGAAGTTGCTCTGGGACACTGGGAGCTACTGCAGCACAAAATGCCCACCACCCAGCAGTCACCGCAGGGCCATACCCTTGGCCATGTCCAGGGACAGGCACAAGGACATAGTCTAGGCCACCATCAAGGACAACCGATGGAACAGTCCAAGGACGACAAGGAATGCAACGAAGGCGATGTGGGCGTTGCGGGCAACAATATACCCAATCTCTCGACCATGTCGTTGGACGAACTGAAGCAGCTAGACAGAGATACCGAGTTCTTCGATGACTTCATCGAGGAGATGTCCGTGGTGCAGCATCTCAACGAGGACATCGATTCGATGATGATCCAGGTGGAGAGTATCTCAAGTGGGTATCATTAAAGTAGAGAGCACAGATGCAGTTCCTAATCCCAATCTAATTTCTGTGCTTTTAGTGGAGAACGAGACAAAGGGAACGCATTTGGTGGAGCTGAAGCGCCGGCTCAGCGATGATTACACTGCCTTGAAAACGCTGGGCGAGAAGTGCGACCAGCTGAACAAGAAGTACATGAAAAAGTCCGAGGAGTATGAACCGCAGCACATAAGGGTGAGTTGCTTGTAAACAAAGTGTCATGTAATGTGGGGGGGTGAGTCACGCTCCGTTCTTGAATTTAGGTTGATAAAATCTGTTAACCATTAGGGAAATTAATAATTCGGTTCTGATACAAACACAGAGAGACTAAATCCTTACTTAAACCACGTCTTCCCGCAGGAACTCCTTCAGATTGCTGCCTCTAATGCCGATGCCGACTGTGATCGTCATGTGGAAAACTTTCTGAACGGCAAGATCGATGTTCAGACGTTCCTCAACACATACCAGAGCTCCAAGAAGATCAGCGCCGAGCGTAAGGCCAAGGAGGAGCGCCTGGGCACCCAGTTGAGTGCCCTGGAGCGGGCTGGCATCTAGGAATGCCATCCGTGACCCGTTCCCTTCAGTGTTATCTCACATTTCATACCACTACCAATCCCCTCCATCCGCCACGAGTCGCAATATAGAGTCTAAGCATCAAAGAGCATCGAGGAGCAGTCGGGAACAGCTATGGAGAAGTGGAGTCAGGCGTCGTGCGATCCTTGGAAGATTATAAGCACTAGTTATAGGCTATATTTAAATTCTTGTAAATCGGTAGGAGCTACTTATACATCCTAGAAAGGAACGCAAATATGTTATGGATCCCCAGCTCCCGGTCCCCGGCTAAATTTTTAATTATCAACAATCATAACCGCATGTATTCCCACGTTTTAGGCTACAAATTATTCCGGCTTTTATTTTGTATCATGGCCAGCCAAAATTGTTCTATTTGTATTATGTATATTTAATAAACTTGATTTATCTCGGATTATCTGGTATGTGTTCTCTTTCTATTTCGGGGAATATCGAAATTATATTTTATTAATACTTTTATAAATTAAAAGCAGCTCGTATTTGTTTTATGGGATTTCTAGTTTTCAATATATGATATGTGCACCTTTATTTCCCAAAAAATAATTATTTATTTATATTTGTTTATATTTATATTTCTTTGTTCACAATAAAAACATTCCAAAAATACAAGCAAAGTTTTAATTAATTTTATTTTATATTTTTAAAAAGTAAATAATTTTAAGAAATTAGGTCTCATATCATACATTTTATTATTTTATTATAAATAATATATAATATTTAAAAGTTTGTGCAATTTTGTGGCGTTAGGGTATTTTTGCACTCTAGGTATTATTTGGTATTTTCAGAGATCCCCATTTTGGCCATAAATTCAAGTTTAGCCTGCCATTTCCCCGCTCCCTGCTCGAAGCTCTTGAATGGACACCGTGTGGGCCAGCAGCTATAGCTGATAAACGCTGCTCCTCCTCCGCCGTAGCGCCGGCTGTGCCCTTGCCCCTGTCCTTCACTTGGATCACATAATCTTGCTCTCTCTCTGACGCGATAAGGCGGAGCACACAAGCACTTCGTCATTGGAGAAGTTCACCTGCATTTGCAACCAACAATCATGGCTGAACCCATCGAGGTGCTGGTCTTTGGCTCGGCCATCATTGATTTCATATGGTACGTCGTGTGGCGTTGCAATATCTTCATCCTAATCACAGTACCTTCATTTCCGTTGCAGCTACACACCCCGCCTGCCAAAGCCCGGCGAAACGCTGCACGGCAATAGCTTCCAGACCGGCTTCGGCGGCAAGGGTGCCAATCAGTGTGTGGCTGCCGCACGCCAAGGATCACGCACGGCTCTGGTGGCCAAGCTGGGAGCGGACAGCTTCGGCGGTGATTACCTGCGCCATCTGATCGCCGAGGGTGTCAATGTGGTGCACGTGCAACAGCTGGAGGGCCAGACAACGGGTGTGGCCCAGATAGCCGTGTCCGATGGCGGCGAGAACAATATTATAATCGTGGTGGGAGCAAACAATTCTCTCAGTGCCACCGATGTGAGCAAGGCCAAGTCCCTGTTCGACGAGGCCAAGGTGCTGGTATGTCAACTGGAGACGCCCGTGCCGGCCACGGAGGCCGCCCTCAAGGAATTCCGAGGTGTTTCCATTTTGAATGCAGCCCCGGCCATGGAGAATACGCCTCAGGTGCTACTCCAGCTGGCCAGCATCTTCTGTGTGAACGAGACCGAGGCGGCGCTGATGACGGGAATGCCCAGCATTCACTCTGTTGAGTGAGTTACACTCTTGTTCAATAACGAAATGGAGCTAATCCTGATTCCCATCATCCACAGAGAAGCCAAAGAAGCCGTTCGCAAGCTCGTAGAGATGGGTGCCAACACGGTGATCATCACGCTGGGTAAGCTGGGCGCCGTTCTGGGCGACTCCAAGCAGTGTCTAGGCGATTACCAGCACGTGCCTGCGCCCAAGGTGGCACCGGAAAAGGTGGTGGACACGACGGGAGCCGGCGATGCCTTTATTGGAGCGCTGGCCCACAACATAGCACAGCATCCGCAGGGTGAGCTAGCGGAGCATGTAGCCGCCGCCTGTGTGGTAGCCTCGCAATCCGTCCAGCTGCCCGGAACACAGGCCAGCTTTCCGCGACGCGCTTAGCCGATGCCAACCAAGTACTTACTCTCCACCGCCAAGAGTGCAATAAATCTCTGTGTGACGTACAATGCTCTATTTAATGGTAATCGTAAGTATAAAAAGAAGTTCTTTCCAACGGGCTACACGAGCAATTTTGGTCCACAAAAAGACGAAGACTGTCGGCGGCACATGGTGTGTTGTTGTTGTTGTTGATCTCTGTGTATTGTGGGTTTGTTTGAAAATGCGACATCCTGGCTCCAGCTGCAACCTTTGGGATCCAAGATGATGACATCACTTCTTGCCCGACTTCTTGATGCCGCCACCCACAAGCGGTCCCTTCTTGGACGCATTCGCCTTGGCCGCCTCCAAAGCCTTCTGCTGCTCCTTCTGCTTCTGCTTGAAGGCCATGTCGTCTTCGTCCATGTCCTTGGAATCCTTCTTTGGCGCCTTCAGAGGCTTCTTCTTACCGCCCTCGCGTCCAGACATGATTCCTTGCTATTGATGCTGCAGGGGAAATGCCGAAAATCAGCCAATATTCGGAAAATTCAACGCCCAGCGATGTCACGCACCTTTATCACACGTTTTCCTCGCAATCAGTGAGACCGCAGCAGCAGAGATAAAAATACCAGTATCTACCATCGAAATATGCGAAAAATACTAACTATGCAACAAATGCTAAAAACAACAACCGTGTATTACATTTTCTGTCTCGTTCTAGCACAGGCACAACTTATGGAAGGAAAACTGTTTGACCGCATTCGATAAATGCATTCAATACGACTCTGTGCAACATGGCAAGCGGGAATTTAAAGCAGGTTGGAGCAGCTCTTTTTGTTAATAAATGTATAATAAATGTTTTCTTCCAGATGGCAATATTTATGCTTTCGCTATTTTCGCTGGGGGCTTTTATTCAATTTTTCGACTAGCCCCAACCAATAGGTTATCCAGCCTGGTGCAATTCCTATATATTGGCATGAAACTCAGTGACCCCATCGATTTTATCGATAGGGCTATCGATTGCTTGACATCTCCGGTGCAACACTGTTTTTGCTGTTCTCTTTCGGCTGTTGTTTCGTGTGTTGACCAATAAATTTTTCGCATATTTTTCCCACTTTTCCCCAACCGAGAACCGCAATAAGCGTATTAGGCCAACGCCGCCAGCCAGCGCAGCAACCGCAACGCGAATCTTTGGCCCCACGCACGTGTGAACTCTGCCCGCAGCGAAGCAGTTACCGCAGATCCATCGGCAGCCGACGACGTTCCAGGAAGCGACATTTACGCTACGCTACACATACAACAACAGCAGCGGGAGCAGCGCGTGAAAGCGAGCGAGCGAAAGAAGGGAGCAAGCAAGCAGGAAAGCAGAGAAGAAGCGAAACAGGGAATCCTGTCCAGAACGAAATTTGCTAGCCAAGATCGCCCCCTTTTGGGAATCCTGCCAGCACAGCACAGCATAGCAGCAGTGGCAGCAACTGTTGTTGTTTTATTTGCTCTTTTGATTTGACTTTCTTTTGTTTGTGTGTAAACAAGCGCGAGCGCAACCCAGCAACCGGAATCGGCTCCAATTACTATCTCCGAGCCCCCAAGTTAGTTGTCCAGTTCGCCACTGGGTCCATCCCCAATCCGTCAAGTCGGGCAATTAAAGATGGCCGCTGCCGCTGGGAGCGCAGTGAATGCGGTGAACGACTGCTTCAGCATCGGATCCACAGTGGTCTGCACGACCTGTTTCAATGAGGAGGTGGAGGGCGAGGTGCTGGCCTTCGATCACAACACAAAGATGCTTATCCTGAGTATCCTTTTTACAAAGAAAAAAATCAACCGAAAAAAAAGCAACAAATATTGCAAATTTCACTCACATTAAAGTGAAAGTCCCTCTGTTTTATATAATCCATACCACTTGTGGTTCTCCTTACATCTGCCCCCTTGCTAAATCCTCTCTAGAATGCCGGTCCAAGTCCACGGAGGAGCTGAGTGATATCTACGCGATGAACCTCTCGCTGTGCAGCAACGTTCAGGTGGTCAAGGAGTGCAACGGCAACTTTGACGATCCGCAGAAGCTCAACCTGGAACAGGTAAGGGAAGAGGTAGTGAGCGGCATCTAGATAGCCCAGCTAATCCTTGGCCTCTCATCAGGTGAAAATGCGCCTGAGGAAAACAGTGGAGCGGAGGCAGGACTATCTCAAGTCCAAGAACGCCGACGTCAGTCCAGAGGCGCAGGAGCTTTATAGAGCGATAGCCAAACAATACGGGGTATGGATAATGCTCCACCGCATATCATCTCCTTCGGCGGGCGAGGAGTTATTAACTTGATCCGATCTCTTCTTTTGCAGTACAATGAGGTCTCCTGGCAGGGACTCAACATACAAATTCTGAATGAAGTCACCATCTCGCCGCCGTACCGAGTGGACAATGTGGTGTCCAGCTCGAACAACGAAACATCATGCAATTACATTAAACGGATTGTAAGAAACTCTGCCAAAAATCATCATTCATAACAGGACTGTCGTAGTGTGCAATGAGAAGCAGGGAAAGAATTGTATAAATCATATGTATACAAACAATAAGTAATTATTTGTTTGTTCCTTCTTTTTTTTAAACAAAATTATATAATTATAAATCGAAATTCACTAGTTCCAATCGAAAGAATTATGTTTGCAAAACTCCAAAAATTATTCAATGGCTTGTTTATTAAATATGATATAAAATTACAATTGGTCAATGATAACGTTTTAACTGCGAATTTTAATGCAATTTATTTGAGACAAGAAATAAGCGCAATAAATGCAGACTCTTCTGCTTTCTGTATCTTTTAATTCCAATTAACTTTACGATGTAAGTGTTAATTGTTGTTCCAAGTGCTATGACAATCGTGTTGCGAGTATCTTTAAGCATTTAAGAACCTAAGACTATTAATTAATTGCAAATATCCTTGCCAGATTAAACAGTTCTTCAACACGAGACCCTCGCCGGTCCCAGAGAGCGGTGCTGCGGCCAGCACCTCGTCAGCATCCGTGTCTCCCACGTCCTCATCTTTGTCGTCGAGTAATGCTGCATCTGGATCTCCGGTTCCCGCAAACTAATTAATAAAAAGAGAAAAGAAAAAAACAAACAAAACAAAAAAACAGAAATGTGCTTCAAAAAGGACATACTATTTGTTTTCTTTTTAAATATATATATCTAGGGGGATCGTTATATATAGACTTTAAGGACTTTTTTTTAACTTCTTTTAGTTAAAAATGATTACAAGATGGATTCACATTAATCTTTACTATCTTCGCTGGCTTACAAAAACTCATTATGTTAACATTTATTAATTTGAGAAGTAGTATAAATATTAATTTTTTAAACAATATTATTATTAACTTGTCGAACTAACAAATCTATTTCAGTTGGTAACTTTCCTATAAAAAGTCTAGTTGTATTTTAAAATATACACAAATATAGTTAATAATTTGGAACTTTTAGATTGAAAAATCCATTCAGTTTTATAGGTTCTCCTAATTTTCTCTTAAAATAGAGAAGACTTTAGATAATAATTTAAAATTATTTTAATATTTTGGTTTTTATAGAATATGAATGTTCCATTCAATTTCATTTTGGGCGATAACTCCGATAACTGCCGGCGAACAGCTATCGATAGCCGATAATGCTGTGTGTATCCCATTCACTGTGAATGGCTCTATTGTGAAGCCAGCTGAAAGGCCGCATTTATTTTATATTTCATTATTTTTGGGAAAAGAACAAACAAATAGGAGCCTGCAGCGATGGAGGATGTACAAAAACACAGTGTTCATACACTGATATTCCGCTCCCTGAAGCGCACCCACGACCTGTTTGTGTCCAACCAGGGAAACCTCCCCGAAATCGACGACCGGCTGTAAGTGCTTGCAGTTTGTAAAGAAAATGAATTAATTACAAATATTTTCGGGTGCAGAGAGAAGCTGCGGCGCTCCATCAAGGCTAGGGACAGCTATGGACTGGTCCTGGACAAGGCCGCCAAGATAGGCGATGCCAGGAGGGAGCAGGAGCCCCGGTGCCGGGCGACAAGCCGCTGGCAATTACCGATGGCAGCGCTGAGGGCTCCGCTGCCGGTGGCATGGTCAAGTACACCGGTGGCAGAGCTATGGAGAAGACAGGAGCAGGAGGAGCAGCACCACCGCTAGTCACTGGCAGCCACACATCGCTGGTGCGCGCCTCTCTGCCCAACAACAACGGTGGAGCAGCGGACAATAACAGCGGTAAGGGGGCAAATGGAAGCGCCAGCAACCTGCAACTGATACCGAAGAAGGCACCGACCATCCCGAAGCCCAAGTGGCATGCGCCGTGGAAGCTCTCCCGCGTCATTTCCGGCCATTTGGGCTGGGTGCGCTGCATAGCCGTGGAGCCCGGCAACGAGTGGTTCGCCACCGGCGCCGGCGATCGCGTGATCAAGATCTGGGACCTGGCCAGCGGCAAGCTGAAGCTCTCCCTCACCGGCCACGTGAGCACTGTGCGCGGTGTGGCCGTCAGCTCGAAGCATCCGTACCTGTTCAGTTGCGGCGAGGACCGGCAGGTCAAGTGCTGGGATCTCGAGTACAACAAGGTGATCCGTCACTATCACGGCCATCTGTCCGCCGTCTATTCGCTGGCCCTGCATCCCACCATCGATGTGCTGGCCACCTCGGGCCGGGACTCGACGGCACGAATCTGGGATATGCGTACCAAGGCCAACGTGCACACGCTGACGGGACACACGAACACTGTTGCCAGCGTGGTGGCGCAGGCAACCAATCCGCAAATCATCACCGGCTCCCACGACTCCACCGTCCGACTGTGGGATCTCGCCGCCGGCAAGAGTGTCTGCACGCTGACCAATCACAAGAAGTCCGTGCGCAGCGTGGTCCTGCATCCGTCGCTGTACATGTTCGCCTCCGCCTCGCCGGACAACATCAAGCAGTGGCGCTGCCCGGAGGGCAATTTCGTGCAGAACATCTCCGGCCACACGGCCATCGTCAACTGCATGGCGGCCAACAATGATGGTGTGCTTGTATCGGGCGGCGACAACGGCACCATGTTCTTCTGGGACTGGCGTACCGGCTACAATTTCCAGCGCTTCCAGGCGCCCGTCCAGCCCGGCTCCATGGACAGTGAGGCTGGCATCTTCGCCATGTGCTTCGATCAGTCGGGCACGCGCCTTATCACCGCCGAGGCGGACAAGACCATCAAGGTGTACAAGGAGGACGATGAGGCCAGCGAGGAGTCTCATCCGGTCAACTGGCGGCCGGAGCTGCTCAAGCGGCGCAAGTTCTAAGCCACAATCCTCGTCTCCTAGTCTTTAAGCAAACTTAGGCTACAATTTCCCAAACGATTTCATTAAAAAACGAACCCATTTACAAGTTGCGAGTATTTATTTATGGAATTTGGTTAAAATATGAATCTTTCAGCTCCTGGACCTCTAGTATCAAAAAATGTTTGGAGTAGCGTGTTCTTTTAATTTGTTTCTTGTTTAAATTGTTGAACTTTGAATTGTTTTTCGGCTATACTTGTAATTGTAGAACTGTAAATAAGCTTTTAACATTAATTCGCAATTAAAAAAAAAAAGGAGAAAAGAATGTTTAATACTCAATTATATAGTAAATTAAATTTAAACAAAAAATACATATTTAGACAACGAATTTAAACCATTATAGTAATTTTAATTAAAAGAAAAACGACGGCACAGTTGATGGCATAAGAACCTATGTCTCAATTAATTTTAGTAAATAAATTAATTTAAATTATGCCCTAGCAAAGCGAATGCAAAGTCCCAATTATATGGGTCATAAAAGTAAATTAAATTAAAAAAATACATATTTAGACAACGAACTGAAACCTTTATAGTAATTTTAGTTAAAAGAAAAACGACGGCACAGTTGATGGCATAAGAACCCATGTCTCATTCAGTTTTAGTAAATAAATAAACAAAATAAAAATAAGTGAATTGGTTCGTTGCACGACCTTCGGCTTTCAACTTACGGGCAAAGAGAACTTCCAACCATCGATTATATGGGTAAAAAAAAGTAAATTAAATTACAAAAAAATACATATTTAGGCAACGAATTAACGAGTAAAACAAATGAATTAAAACGATGGCACAGTTGATGGCATAAGAACCAATGTCTCATTCAGTTTTAGTAAACAAACAAACAAAATAAAAATAGTAAAAATAAGTTCACTCCGGGACCGATAACTATGGAATGAACCTGGGCTTGTCCCGGATCCGCCTTTTATAGGGAAACCAGGGGAAGTAATTGACGGCCGGGCCTACTTTGGTAGGAATTTTAATTTCAGATTTCTCAGTTTGTCGTCTTGGTTTCTTATTCTATAATTATTTAAAAAAATAATATTTTCAGAAAGTTCATCCCCTGTATTATTTAATTAAAGAGTTGTACAGTTCTTGGATATCGTAAATTATCGTACTTTAAAACTAATTTAATGAGGTGGTATTTAATACTTAAATACTAGTAATTTACCCCTAAAAAACAGTTTTGAAATTTTAGAAAAATACCAGCTTAAGATTTTGCCCTTATTAGACACTGTTTTGATAGATATTTTAATTAATATCAAGTTCATTTAACTGATATTGCTTTTATAAAATTTTCAAAAGTAGTTTTTGAAATAATACCACCCTTTCGAAAACCCAATTCCAACCTAGTATCGGAATGAAAAGACAAGGCTTTAACTTTCTAAGCCCAAGAAGAAACGAAATATAGTCGATATCGCGCGCACTCATTTCATTTGAGTTCTTGGTACATATTTATTGGTTTTCGGTTTTGTTTTTCTTTTTTTTACACATAAATAATTTGAATTATTTGCTGCATAAATAATAATAATAATAATAGCATAGTAATATATTGTTCAAATATTGTTTTGTTGTGGGCTCTTCTCTGTTTATATTTGATTTTGTTGTTGTTAGTTGCGTTTGTTGTTTCAAATTCTCGCTTTGTTTTGACTTTTGTTTTCTTCTTTTTTCGCTATAGTTAACAAAGAAAAAGCTCTAAACGATTTGTGTATTATAGTTATTTATTAATTAATATTATGTTGTCTAGTCCTTTGCGTACATTTTTATCATTTCATGTTTTAAAATCACAAATAATTGTTGTTTGAAACAAATCTTATATTTCCATCTTTTCCATCTTATCAGCGTCTCTCTCTCTCTTTCTCTCTCGCTATCTCTATCTCTTTCTATATCCTTTTCGTTACTAGTGCGTCTCGCTCGAATATATATCAACTATCTCGATCGCTGTCGTTCGTGACTTGACTTTTAAGTGTTTTGTGTGTTGTTGCTTCCATTACTTTTTGCCTTTTCTTTAAAGTTATACTTGTGTTGCTCTCCCTCTCTCTGTCTCTCTTTGTTTATTTATATATATATATATGTGTGTGTATCTTTTGTGGTTGTTCTTGTATTTAGTTTAGTTTTTAATATTTATGGTTTGCTTTGTTACAACATCACCATCATTTCTCTGTGTTTCAACGCTTATTTACACAACTGACAAAAATAATCGCTTCGCTTCCGACAAGTCTCTCGATTATTTTGTCTGCAATTAAACAATTAAAGATTAAGAATATTATATATCATAGAAAACACACTCACACACACACACACACAAACTTTAGGCTTAATTCTAAATTTAAGTTAAATTTAATTCAAAAAGCAAATAATAGGTCACAAAACGGAATTTTCAAACTGAAACCGAAATCAGGAGTTGGCTGGCGTGTGCGTGCACTGCTGGCTTCTGGGGCGTGCGAGCGGTGTGTTAATAAATAATAGTTATATATGACTTAGCCGTAAGATTAAACAAAACTTTTATATTTAAAATATATAGTAGGGGAGGCCGAGACGCGTGACACTTGTTCAAATTTCGAGCTGTTGCTACCCTTGGTGGTTAAACTGTACACCCGGAGAGGAGACTGGCCTGGTGATCCAACCCATATTTCCCATCTCCCAGAGTCGCTCCTGCTGCAGCTGCTCCTCTTTTGCTTCCCTCGCTTTCAACTTTGTCTCAATCCGTTTCAGCTTCTTTGTTTTCTTTCCATTCTAATTATAAATCTTGATGGCCTTCTCGGAGAAGTTGAGCGAGCTGCGCTTGCGCGATTTGTTAATGTGATCCAGCCCAAAGAAGGGCAACTGGCCGCTGGTCCAGCATCGGTACACATCCAGGTCCACGGTCGTATTGTCGTTCACTTCCGCGTTGTGGCCCATGGTGATGACGCAGAACTTGTAGTTCTCCCACTCCTTGTCCGGGACATTCAGGCGCTTCTGGATGCGTTGCTTCAACATACCATACTGCTCGCCCTGACGCGCCTTGGCGAGGAATGGTACGCCAAATGAGTTGTACAGCTCCTTGCTGAAATGGGCCACCGGTATGAGATACTCGTTCTCCGCCAGCTGCATCTCGTCCGCCGGCACCTCCTCGATGCGATAGATCTTCTGGGCGCCCTGCGTCGTCGATATCGATTCGGTGGTCTTTAGCAGCGTATCCAATGCTATTTCATCCTTACAAATCGCCACTATCTTGTGATTGCTGACCTTTAAAAGCCGTAACTTTCGACGACTGTTCTCCGCAAACGTTATCTTCTTGGCCGCCTCGTCCAGCAGTCCCTTGACTGTGTCGTTTTTGTTGGGATACAGCACCAGCTCCTTCTCCTCCTTGAGGTCGCTGCTCACCCAGACGCACTTGAACTGCTTCTTGTTGTCCAGCTCGTGGATGCTGAGCGACAATCGCTGGTAAAAGATCCGTTTTGGTGTGCTCGCCTTGTTGTATGCCACCAGATCCTTGATGGTGCCCTGGAAAATAATAAACAAATACTGTATATAGTTGGTACTATAAGGATATTTGAAGCAAAGGACGATATATAAATCGATCGTTGCTTCATATTTCCGATAAATCGATATTCTGTTTGTTTCTTTAGATATTTTTCGATAATCGATATTGTAAATTGTATTGTAATCGACATTGTAAAGTGAAATGCGATATATTTCGATAGTTCCGTTGACTTCGATCGATACACCCAAGAATAAAATAAAGGATTGCACAATAAGAAATTAATTAAAAGAGAAACCGGTTACTCCTTCACCTTTCTCCTGATCGATCACTTAAAAGTAAATCTTATTAGACGCCTAATACGCACCTTGAATGTGTAGGGCACCGCATTGCCCGCCGTCTCCTTGTAGTTGTTGATGCACATAAAGAATTGCAGCTTCTGGGGATCGGTATTGAGGCGCTCGGCCACCGCATTGGTTAGCTGATCGTAGTTGTAGCGATTGGAGAGCTCCAGCGTAAAGTCCGGCTCGTTGGGGTTGCATTTGTCACTGAAGATGATCTCGATGCGGTAGACCAGATCGAGGAAGTAGTCCTCCACTGTGGGCAGGTCCAGCCTAGCATCGACGGTCTCGCGCTCAAAGATGAGAATGGGACCCTGCAGGTGATCCTGCGGTATGAAGAGAACACTGTCGATCGGCTCGTTCAGATTGGCCACCTTCTTGTCGGCGTACTCGTCGAAGATGGTCAGTTCGGTGTCCGGCTCGAAGCCCAGCTTCTTGTTGACCTCCGGCACCAGGTCGATCAAACGCCGGCTCTGCGGCTGCTGTGTGCATCCGATGTAGTTGAGCCGCTTGTTTCGCGCATCGTAGTACTTGAGGAACAGGAGGACATCTGTCTTGGGATTGAAGGGCGGCAGGGGAGCAGGATTTTCGGGCGAGGCCAGCTCCAGGAAGATGACCCAGGGCTTCTGCGACGTGGGTATCTGCTCAATGGTGCGCGAGCTCTCCGCCTCGAAGTCGAAGTGCAGAAACTTCTGCGTTTGGGCTGTGCACATGTTCCACATCCGCATGCGATCCCGCGACACGCCAAATCCCTTGACAAACATATCCACCAGCTCGTCGACGGTTTGGTTCTGCTTGAGCTTAAACGGCCGCTGGTGGGTCTTCTCCAGATCAAAGAGACGACGCTTCTGCTGGCCCTCAAAGTACTCCTCGAGTATAACGTGCACGGACACATAAAGATTGGCCTCGCTGCGCTCCTTGCGTCTCGCCATCTCGATGCGCTTCTCCAGATCGAGTCGTTCGACAAGATCACTCGAGATCTCGCTCTCGGGTATGTCGCCCAGGACACGATCCAGCTCCGACTGTCTGATGTAGACCAGCATGTAGGCATTGCTGCACTTGGCATGGAACGATATCTCATCATCCATGCCGCCGTAATTCTGTTCAATGGCCTCTTGCTTGCGGCAGCTGGAGACCACATCGTCGTCAAACTTAAACCAACGTCCGTCCGCCTTTGGATTGATGAAGACCACATAGTGACCGCCATGGTTGTCACCTGAATGCACCAGCACCGCGTGCAGCACATAATCCGCCGATGTCTTCTCGCCCTCGGCCAAATACCGATCCAAATTGATCTGCTCATAGAACTCGAAGCGATCATTGTACTTGATCGAGCTATCCGTGATGGGATCGTATTGGAAACGCATCAAATGCAGATGAAGGACGGGCGGGAATGAAGTGAAGATGACGCCCTTGCTGGCCTCCTACAAATAGAGAAATCCAGGATTATAGTTAAAACTTTTCAAGGTGAAATATAGAACAGAAAGTGAGTTTAAAACCAACTCACCTGCAGGCCATGCACTCCGGCATCGTATTTGTTGTCGCCCTCCAACGTCTCGGAGGCCACATAGTCCTGGAAGGACTCGTAAATGTTCTTCTTATCCTTGATATTCAACTGAATGTCGTAGAAGGTCTCGTAGCGTGTGCTGTTGTAGTCCACATTCTTGCACTTGATGTACGAGGACATTTTGCCCTCGAACAGGCCGGGTATGGTGCCCTCCAGGCACGTACCCTTCATCTTCGACTCCAGCTTGTCGAGGAGAACGCGCAGGAACTCCTGCACATCGTGCTGCATGAACGAGTCGAGCGTCTCCCAGCCAAATGATTTGGTTAGCTTCTTGGTGCCCACCGGACGATCACCGAACTGCAGTTCGTGGAAGACCCGCTGCAGCGATAGACCCACCGATTTGGTGCTATCATCGGCCTCCGTGGGAATACGATAGACGGCCAGCCGCAAGGAGTTGGTGAAGTACAGCGTCTGGAGCAGCGAGTTCATGTAACAGGTTGCGCCCTGATTCTTGAGCCCCACATAGCCGGTGTGCTTCTTCGAATCCCAGAGGACGCCGTGCGGGGCATCGGCAATGACATGTACTTCCAGCGTGATGCTGTTGTTGTGCACATAACTCTTGTCCGCATCCTGCAGCTCCTGCCAGGTTATGAAGTTCGAGTAACCGTAGTCGTTCTCCTTCGAATAAAACAAATGCTTGATGCGCTGCCGCGAGAAGGGCTGGGCGTCCGGCTTGTGACACTTGAGCCGCAGCTCGGCAATGGCATTGCACGACCATGACGGCGAATCGTTCTCCCCGTTGCACTGCAGGAAGAAGCCCAGTGCCCGCTCATTGGGTATAACCATTATCTTCCATGGCAGCATTCGCACATAGACGGGCGGCGACAACCGCTGGCTCTTTAGCTGCCCAACATTCTCCACCGTGAAGGAGAATGTCGTCTCCGATCGGAACTGGTCCTCCTTCGTTTCATCGTCCATGCCCATGGCCTCCACCGAATCGTTATTGCCGGCAAATGTCGTCGAACTGCTGTCGGCGAGTAGCTGCTGTGGCGGCACGTTGCCGTTCTCGCTGGGCAGCTGAGTTATTGCTCCCGCGGCGTGCAGCTGCGGATGGATCAGGTTCTTGAATTTCGGCAGTTGCGGTGGCGAGTTCTGCTGCTGCTGCTGCTGTTGCTGCGCAGTCTGTTGCTGTTGCTGCTGCTGCTGTTGGAGGTCGCTGGTGATAATCTCGACCTCTTGGGTGTCCTGGGTGTCCATTGCTTCGATCGAGTGGTCTGTTTCTATTTCCATCTTACTCGGCACTTGAATGGTGCTGAATTTGGCGGCTCCTCCGTTATCCGGAGGATCTCGGGAGGAAGGGAGAGGGGGGTGACAGATGTGTTGGTGGTTGAGGGATTTGGAAGCGTTGCGAGGGATGCCTTAGGAGTGTTGCTGTTGCTGTTGGAGGCGTGTGTCACTGGTTCAACTGGACAACTTCTGGGTATACTCTGACGGTGTTGACGGCTCTTCCAGCATATATGCGGCGCTCTTTAACCGCTCTGCACTGCCGGTGGCGTTCGCGAAAAAGATTCTGTAACAAACAAATGTTGAAAAGAAAAAAATGAAATAAAATGAAAACACGCACACAGGCAGCGCCGCGCAGCGCACACCGCACACGCATGCCGCGAAATGAATATGCAAATATGTGCCAGCCAATTACGCATACATGCATAAATAATGTACAGGCTTGCTTCTGTGTGCAATGACTGGATGAAAATTTTCTGGCCAGGCCATGTTTTATGCAATTTGTTGCGGCGGCGGCAGGAAGAAGCAGAAACGGCACCACGAGCGGCAGCAACATTAAATGCGTCGCTGCTCTGCCGCTTCTTCCCGCACACATACATATACGAGGGCGCGCATACACACACACACACACACACGGGCGCGCACACACGCACACGCACAAACTTGCACTTTTCTTCTTACCTTGCCGTTCGATTCTTGCCAAAAACAAAAAGTGTCTATATGTATGTACATTTAAAAAAATATATATATAATTTGGCTGCTCGCCGCTGTCCAGCGTGCGTCGATACGTATTACGATTTAATTGAAACCGCAAAATAATGTTCTTTTGTATTTGCAGTGTGCGTGCGAGAGAGCGCGTGTATGTGTTTTGTTGTGTGTGCTTTCTTTCCAACTTACACTTCAATTTATGGCCGTACACTTCTACATCGGTATGGGTAGCTGCGCTGTTTTCGGCTGCTGTAGGTGTGTAAGTTTTGCACGTCGGATTTGGGGTAGCAAACAAAAAAAGAATTTGTCGAAAACATAAATTTTGTATCAGATGGTTATCGTTTAAACTTTACAAGAAAACACCTGGCGTAACTCGCCATAGGTTATTAATTTAATATAACGACGAACGCCTGCTGTATAAGTGTGACCAACTGCCGTGGAGAGAAAAACCTAGCACCTATTTGGAAAAACATATCGACGCAAGCGATAGTGTCGACTATCGCAGTTGTGACAATTATCGCATAAACTATTTGCATTTATGCGACATTTTTCCCACACAGTAACGCACTGGGAACAAAATAATATATAAAATAAATAATAAATAATAAAGATGAGAAGCTGGCAGCTGCATTTTGCGAAATAAACAAAACAATATTGGTAAAACGGAAGCTGTGATGCCAACCCGGCTTGCAAGTGATGCCATATCATCTGATGGACCAATATTGCCCCACTTGACTTTTTTCAAAGTTTGATAAATGGTTCGAAAACTTCAAATAGGAAAAAGGCAATTGTGAATTATATCCGTCTATATTGCAATAATCGTTATCGTTTATCGTTTCACAAACGACACATTGATGCCGTCGCGAGCTTTCAGCACCATTTGGGCCTGCAATTTGAGCGGCGCGTTTTCCGGACTCAGGCGCAGATCGAATTCGGTCACCAGGCGGGCGGTGAGCAGTTTCATCAGGAGCAGCGAGTACCGCCGGCCGATGCACACGTGCGGTCCACCGGAGAAGGGAATGTAACTGAAGGCGGGCGGCGGGGAGGACCCCTCACTCGCCAGCCAACGCTCCGGCTTGAAGGCATACGGATCCGGATAGTAATCTGCATCGTGTGCCAGTCCGTACATATTGATCCAGAGCGTGATTCCGGCACAATATGTCCTCCCGCCGATGACGGTTGCTCGTGTTGTCTGGCGTCCCGTGGTGGGCACAATGGTATAAAGCCGCAGCACCTCCTTGATAAAGGCCTCCAAATAAGCTAGCTCGTTGAGGGAGTCCAGGTCAGCATCCTTCGGCAGCTGGTGCACCTGCAGCTCCTCCCGGAGACGTGACTGAGTCTCGGGGTATTTGGCCAAGGCATACAGAACAAATGACATGGACGCTGTTGTGGTATCCACGCCCTAAAATCGAAGATAAGTCATTAAATATGGATTATTGGAAGCCTTCTCCACTCTCCTGGACTCACCGCAAAGACAAAAGTGTTGACTTCATCGCGTATTTCCCTTCTGCTCAGCGGTTGATCCTCGAATCTGGCCAGGAGCAGCGTATCCAGAAGATTATGAACCTTGCCAGGGGCTCCCTCCAGTTCCTCCAACTCCTTGGCTCGCTGCTCAATCACCTGGTCCATTAGGCTGTGGATTATCCGCAACTGCTCGCTGAGATCCCGCCAGAGTTTAGTGCGCTGGAAGATCCAATCGGAGGCCAGAAGGGGATTGATCATGCGCTTGAACAGCAGCTCACTGCTGCGATGGAAAGCCTGGACCACGGGCGAGTGATCCACCAGTTGAGTATCCAACTGGGCGGCCATGGAGGTGTCTGTAAGTAATGTCTTTTAATAAAATAGTAAATTAATATGGAAACCTTGAAAAACTCACCCACTATAGCATCGAGAAGGCAGGCAAACAGCGGATCCGTCACCTCCAGGCAGGCACCTTTGGTGGCCGCCAGTCGGCTGACCAAGCGATCCACATGCCTGGCTATAGGCTGTGCAAAATGTCGCAGTAATTGCGGCTGGAAGGCTGGGGTCAGGAGGCGACGCTGCCTCGTCCAGTGGGGACCGTGGCTGATCAGCAATCCATTCCCAATGAGCGGCTCCAGCTGAAGAAAGGTCTCGGCCTTGCGCAGCGTGGGATCGTGCAGGGCCTGACGCGTCTCCTCCGCCGAGTGGAGGAAGACCCACAACTGGGGACCCAGCCAGAGGCGATAGGTGGCCCCGAAGCGATCACGTAGCTCTGTGAAAACAAGAAAGATGACTGCCAACTAAAGTGATGAGAATGAACCTTAAGACTACTTTCTCTCAACTCACATTCCGGCTTTAGTTTGCCCATCATTTGGGCATTGCCCAGGAGCGGAAAAGCCCAGGGTCCGGGCAAACTGATGCCCACACGTAGCAGTGACCATTTGCGGAGGAGCAGCCACAGTCCCAGACTGAGGAGCAGCAGCGGCCACAGCGCCATGTCTAGCGGCAGAGTACGTTCTCCACGAGCGATAATAACAGACTGAACTGAGGAATAATGGAAACCTGCTTGATTGGCAGCTAATCTTCACAGAGACCGGCAATCAATGGATTCAAAGCTGGCGGAATATTAACCCTTTGTTGGAAGAGATAATTATAAATAATATAATACATTAAACTTAAAGAAATACTTTAAGTTATATATTTAGTTTTTAAAGAAGAGAAATTGAGTTTCCATATATAAACTATATGCATTTAGCTCTGTTTGAATTATCAAAAATATAAATAATTTATAGAAATATATATTTAATGGAAGAGTGAATCAATTTATATATTAATCTAACTTACTTTTGTTAAAAATATATATAATTGATTAAATATAGCAAAGCTTTAAATATGCTTTAGTGGGTTAGTTGTCCCACTGCTGGTTTAGATAAGATTATCGGATTTCATTCAGGCCAGACATATGTAATATATGCACTTGCTCTGTGTGGATTAACAAAAGTCAACGATCAGACTTCTTATTACTTATTTTTAATATCTAATCGGTACTCAATGACTCGACCCTTGGGGGAAATAAATAAATGCACTTGCTGGGGCCTTGCTTTTATTCATGCGTTGCATATTCTGCTCTCAACTTTTGTGCTTTTTTAATCAATATTTCAAGGTCATAATACTAAGGAATTATATCAGACAATAAAAAGAATATCTCTGGATTCTTTTAATATTTAAATAAATATTTTAAAGCGGATTTGAAAACTTTTCCTTGGCCTTTAAAACTGAAGCAACTAAAAATACATATAAAACAAGAAAGGAAATTAACTTCGGCTTCATAACTAAGCTTAAAATATAATTATTCTTTAAATCTATATTTTTATATGACAATTTAATGATAAATTAAAGTTTAAAAAATGCATAACTATGTCAAAAATGCATTAATTTCAATTCGGAAAGCTGTTCTGTGCTAGTTCTTAAAGGGTTAACAAATCTGCATATTGAGTTTTAAAATTATAGTAATTTAAATTTTTGTCAAATTTTTCAACTTTCACAATATAAAATTTAGTCATAAAATTTCAAAAATAAATTCGAAAAAAATTGTTTCCTCCCAAACATGTCTAGATCGATTCAGTTTTTCGTTCTGATCAAGAATATATATGATTTATAGGGTCGGAAATGGATCCTTTATGAATTACAAGCTTTTGACTGAAATTAAAATACCTTGAAAGGGTATAAGAATGTATCAAAAGGTGATGCCAAAGTCAGGAGTAGTTTTTAAACTAGTGTAAGGGTAAGAAATCAATATTCGCTAATAATTAATAATTAAGTTCAGCTGTTAACTTTGGAGGTGCATTGCATAAGTCAGTTAATATGTTTGGGTTGAAGGGAAATCACTAATCACTATCACTAGAGATGTTTACCCTTAGGTGACCGCGGACTGAATGAGGTGCGCAAGGCGGCAGAGCCCGGTATTTATAGTCCCCGAGTAAAGAGAAGAGAGAAAGTGAGAGCGAGAGGGAAAGAGATATCTCAAGAGATACACAGAGAGAGGTAGAGAGTAAGAGGTATCAGTACAGATAGAAAGAGAGAGAGATGGAGAGGGAGACGGAGAGGGAGAGACAGAGAGATCCAACGATCATTTCTTTATCAGCTGTATGATCTGACCTGTTCCTCTTAATATACTATAGGGAGTATATGTAAATATATAACTAACTAATTATCTAGTAAAGTTAAATTTAGATATCTTTAATAATTAGGGTCTAACCTGTGTAGAAACTGACAGACGGACATGATTAAGAACATATATACTTTATATGATTATAATTATAAAACTTTTATATATAATAGATTATGTTAATTATTAATTATAGTCATAAGTAAAACTCTTTCAATAGCATGTTTTAAAGTCAAAACAAATTACAGCGGAAGCTAGTAGCTCTCCCCATTTCCTAGGCAATTAATAAATGATAATAAAAACCAAAGAGACAGACAATAATTCAGACTGTGTGTGTCACATTTTGGGCAGTTGTCAACTGTTGGCCCAACCGTTCGGTTCGGTTTTTGGTTTTGGTTTCGGTTTCGGTTTTGGTTTTCCTCTTGCTTAGCCAAGTTAGCTGGCTGAAAAACTCATTTTGCCTACAAAGCACCACATTAGGCCATACCAAATAGCGATTGCAATGCACCTATGCGTGGCCCTGTGGGTCTGCGGAGTCCTCCTGGTGGTGCTTCTCGGCTGGCAGCAACGCAAGTGCTGGCGCCTCATCTGGCAGCTCAATGGCTGGCGGGGAGTGGTCCAACAGCCGCTCCTCTGGTTTCTCCTCTGCATCAACCTGCATCCAAATAGTAAGATAACGAGAGGTAACTTTCGTCTGAGTTAATTTAAAAGAGAAAATCCCCATTTATACTTGCAGGCATTCTGGAGAAAGTCACATATTTTCGGGTATTCTTTAAGCGTCCCATGGCTGTTCTCTTGGGCACCCGTGTCCTGGTTTATATAGACGATCCAGCGGGCATGGAGTGCGTACTAAATGCACCCGAGTGTCTGGACAAGACCTTTCTGCAGGATGGCTTCTTTGTGAATCGCGGTCTGCTTCATGCCAGAGGTTAGCTCTGAAAAGGAGTATATTACATGTTATATATTTCATTTATAATGGTTAATTACAGGCCAGCAGTGGAAGCTGCGCAGGAAGCAGCTTAATCCCGCCTTCAGTCACAACATTGTGACCAGTTTCTTCGATGTCTTCAATTCGGTGGGCAATCAGATGATTGAACAATTTGCCACATTGCCTCATCTTCATGGAAAGTCGGTTAGTTTTACGGATGCCGAGGATATGCTCAGTCGAGCCGTTCTGGAGGTGTCTTGCTGTGAGTATACATAATATTTTTAGTTCAGGGAATGCATCTTGTAAAGGTAATATATAATATATGTATAGCTGGAAAGTATATATGTATATATCGCAAAATTACAAAACTTGCAGTTGACCTCCATTATGGAATAACCACCATTACCTATCTAGTACCTACTCCTCCACCCATTTCCCCTCTTACTTACCTGCCCTTCGAATGGCGACACGTTCCCCCCGTTTCCATGCAGCTCACGTATGCGGAATCAAACACAAAATCCATCATCTATCGAATGCTTCATAGTCCATCGATCGGCTTTTAATAATTCCAAATATTTGCACTGTAAATTAGAAATGTTTAAAATATTTTATGGGTTTATTATATTATTTATCTAACTTACTTGCAGTGACCATAATGGGTACGCCCACGAACTTTACTCAGATCGATGATGATCACATTGCGCACAGCTATAAGAGGTGAGTAGCCTCTCCCTCTGAGAGCTTCTCTAATCCAACATATTTTCTTTATCCTTCAGACTCCTGGAGATATCGGCCGTTCGGGTGGTGAAACCCTGGCTCCAGAGTGATTTACTGCATCGCCTCCTGGAACCGGAACTATATGCAGAGTCCAAGAAGAACTGTCAGCTTCTGGAGGATTTTGTGGGTGGAATTGTAAAGACCAAGCATCGCAATTGGCGGCTGAGGGATGCCGTGGGTGCGGATGGACCTGGGGAGGATTCCTCCTCGGGCTGGCAGCGACGCATCTTCATCGAGCAGATCTTTCAGTTGGCCGCCAATGGGGAAATGACGCTCGAGGAGATTATGCACGAGGCCCAGTCCATGGTGCTGGTGGTGAGTAAAGAGAGTAATTATTACAAATTCCAATATATATATCTATATCCTATCCTTACAGTCCTTTGAGACGGTGTCCAATAGCATTATGCTGGCATTGCTGTGCCTGGCCACGCACAAAGGTGACTGCCAGGAGCGACTCCGAGCGGAGATTGCCGCCGTGGTGCCGGATACTAGGGGACATGTGGGCCTGGAGCAGTTGCAACAGCTACGCTATCTGGACGCCTTTGTCAGTGAATCGCTGCGTCTGTTGGCCACCGTCCCCATGAATCTGCGCCATGTCAGCCGGGACTTTCGCCTGGCCGGACGGGATGCCATTGTGCCGCAGAACAGCATCGTGGTGCTGGACACCTTCAATATGCAGCGGGATGAACGCTGGTGGGGTGCCAATGCCAAGCAGTTTGATCCGCAGAGGTTTCTCGACCAGGATCAGGAGCCAGGAGAGACTCCATCCTCAGGAGAGCCACGAAAACAGCGGGATAGGCGGCATTCCTACAGCTTTCTGCCCTTTTCCAATGGTTTGCGGTCCTGCATAGGTAAGATTATTAAGTTTACTAATTAAATAAGGATTAATTAATTAATTATTTATAAACTTACTCTATAAGGTCGTCGCTATGGCCTCTTCATCATGAAGGTCTTCCTGGTCAAGCTGATTGCCAACTTTGATTTTCACAGTGACTTTCAGTTGGAAAAACTGCAGTTCGTTGAGAATATATCACTGAAGTTCAAGAATGTAGATGATATTCACTTGTCCATCCAACCTCATCTTGTGTCCTAAAAATCTGCATAATATCTAGGATATAAAACATTTTTTTCTAATTTTATTTACTAAATTAAGGGGTGGTATTTCAATAAAAAAAAAAACCTCAATAAAATATTTCGTACTTCAAAAAATCTTCAAGCCAAGGATTTCCCATTTATTTGAATTTTGGGAAATCGTCTGGAAATTTTCAGGACCTTCAGTGAATTTAAAGGACATTGTAAGGATATTTCTGGGAATGCTTTTATTGAAAGTTTTCCTAAAAGCTTGCCCACATTTTCAAACCTTATATAAGTGAGTCATAGATGACGCAAGTAAGGAAGATAATCCTTTAGAGCTTTGGACTAAATATATACATATAATAAAATAACAAATTTAATAAAATATAAGAATAATAAAACCAATTTAAAATAAATAGAAAAAAAAGAATAGAGAAGAAAAGAATAGAGCTTACCCTTCTTCGATTATTTTAATGTTTTCTTTGTAATACAGACGTTAAACCGATGATTTATTATAAGGAAGGTACAAGAGATTGGAAAACATCGATATAAATAGATTTAAAATCAATGTCTAGTTGAAAAAAGGGCCTTTAAAAAATAGTTTTTTTTTAATCCATTGAAAATGTCGATTATTTTCATACCCTTGATATGTATTATAATTTGAGTCAAAAGCTTGTAACTCACGAAGTAGTCATTTCCGACCCTATAAATCATATATATTCTTGATCAGAATAAAAAACCGAATCGATCTAGCCATGTTTGGGAGAAGACAATTTTTTCGAATTTATTTTCGAAATTTTATGACTTAATTTTATATTGTGAAAGTTGCAAAATTTGACAAAATTTGAATTCCTTAAAATTTTAAAAATTAGTATGCAGATTTGTTAAACTTGTAAAAGCTAGCACAGAACAGCTTTTTGAAATGAAATTAATGCACTTTTGGCTAAGTTATGAATTTTTTAAACTTTGATTTATCATAAAAATTGTCATAAAAATATCAATAAATATCGGTTCACAAATGGTATTTAAATTTTAGTCTGAAGCTTGTAACTCACGAAGGAGTCATTTCCGACCCTATAAATCATATATATTCTTGATCAGAATGAAAAGCCGAATCGATCTAGCCATGTTTGGGAGAAAACAATTTTTTCGAATTTATTTTCGAAATTTTATGACTAAATTTTATATTGTGAAAGTTGAAAAATTTTACAAAAATTTAATTTACTTTTATTTTAAAACTGATTATGCAGATTTGTTAAACTTGTAAAAGCTAGCACAGAACAGCTTTTTGAAATGAAATTAATGCACTTTTGGCTAAGTTATGAATTTTTTAAACTTTGATTTATCATAAAAATTGTCATAAAAATATCAATAAATATCGGTTCAAAAATGGTATTTAAATTTTAGTCAGAAGCTTCTAACTCACGAAGGAATCATTTCCGACCCTATAAATCATATATATTCTTGATCAGAATAAAAAGCCGAATCGATCTAGCCATGTTTGGGAGAAAACAATTTTTTTTAATTTTTTTCCAAATTTTATGACTAAATTTTATATTGTTGTTATAAAATTTGACAAAAATTTAATTTACTTTTATTTTAAAACTAATTATGCAGATTTGTTAACCTTATAAAAACTAGCACAGAACAGCTTTTCGATTTGAAATTAATGAATTTTTGGCTGTGTTATGAAATTTTAAACTTTGATTTATCATAAAAATTGTCATATAAAAATATCAATAAATATCGGTTCAAAAATGGTATTTAAATTTTAGTCCGAAGCTTGTAACTCACGAAGGAGTCATTTCCGACCCTACAAATCATATATATTATTGATCAGAATAAAAAGCCGAATCGATCTAGCCATGTTTGGGAGGAAACATTTTTTTCGAATTTATTTTCGAAATTTTATGACTAAATTTTATATTGTGAAAGTTGAAAAATTTGACAAAATTTGAATTCCTTTACATTTTAAAAATTAGTATGCAGATTTGTTATATACTTATAAAAACTAGCACAGAACAGCTTTCCGAATTTAAATTAGTGAATTTTTGGCTTAGTTATGAATTTTTTTAACCTTGATTTATGGAAAAAATGTGCATATAAAAATATATTTTAATTATGATCGGTTTCCTTTTCATTTCCATAATTTAATTACAAGCTGTAGAGGTATAAAAACTTCAAAGTCCCCAAGTTAGTTTCCTTTTTCGTTCAACTTGAGTTCTACTTAAAATGTGTGTTTTTAACATAATATATTTCATATTTAGTTTCCCCCCTAATTTGCTTTCTATTCAAAAATTCGGGTCTTACCCCATTATAGGGCTTTTCCACTTGAAGTAAACTGAAAATGGGGAACTGCATCTGTCATGAAGATGCGATTGCCGAGCACGCGACGGTTAATGTGAAAGGACAGGGACATGGACATGGATACGGACTCGGCTGGAGCAGGAGCTGGAGCTGGAGCAGGAGCAGGAACAGGAGCTGGAGCAGGAGCTGGAGCAGGAGCAGGAGCAGGAGCAGGAACAGGAGCAGTGGCAGTCACACTGCCGTATGATAATATGCCACAACTGTCAGCAATATTTCCGCTTTGCTCTCTGCCCCGCTAGAATTTTCACAGGATCTAACTCCTCGTATCTCCCTGCCAGAGTTGGGGCACATATCATTGTCAGCTCGAGTCCTGTTGACTCGTCTGAAGAGTCGGAGGAGAGTCGTCCAAAGAGCGTCCAAAATGTTGGCACCGTCTTAGCTGCTAAACGACAACAGCAGCAGCAGCAGCAAAGCCAGTCAGCCAAGTGGCATCATTATAACTTGGTCTAAACTACACTGAGCAAAAGTGGCAAACGAATCCCAGGATACCCAACGATCAAAGGATGCAGGATCTGCATTCATACACATATGTGTGTGTCTTGTTATTTCCCCCAAATCATTCGCACATTTTGTCAAGTGCTTCCTTTTAGCCCAGAACTTTGTGGCTTAAGCAAGGGTATATCACTGACTGGACAGGATGTGGAGTCCTTTTATAGGAGTTTGGGGTATTTAGAGTTTTAATTTTAATAATAATAAGTCTAATAAGAACTAAGGTCTCAAGTTAAAAACTGGTTAAATATCCTATAGTTTAATGTATTGAAATTAAAAATCACAAATAGGATATCAATATACGTTGATCTTGTGAAAATAGCCTACAAAGTGTAGGCTTTCCTTTTGGAAAAGTTTAATAATATATATAAATAACAGGATTTTGAAACTAGAAACTAGGTAGATATCCTATAGTTTAAGGTATTGAAATTAAAAATCACAAATAGGATATCAATTTGCGTTGAAATTTTGAAAATAGCCTACAAAGTGTAGGCTTTACTTTTGGAAAAGTTTAATAATATATATAAATAACAGGATTTTGACTTTACCTCACAGATAAAGACTCGTTTAATTGATGATTTCATATATTAAAGATATTTTCTGCCACTATCTATATTTTTTTATAAAGGATAACTTCTAGTTGAGTTTCTTTGCCTTTTATTTTCCTGATTTTTGGCTTGCGATTCCTTTTACCTTTTCGCCAGGCAAATGACGCCGTCAACGCAGTCATTAGGTGAACGGAGGAGTGCCAGGAGCCAGGATATCTGCTTGGTCCTTGTGACCCATCCCCCCTCCTCTGCCTGCTGCTGCTGCTGGCATTAACTTGACACTTTCCCCCATTTGCCGTGAGTGGAATGCATTGCATTCGTGTCCGTAACTCCGTTCGTAATTCCCTCCGTAACTCCATATGTGTGTGTGTGTGTGTGTGTGTGTGTGTGAAAATTTATAACTGTGAAAGGCACTTGAAACACATTCGCATGGAAATTGCCGTCACGGTCGCCCAGGCTCACTCACACATTTACTTTGATTGATGTGACGGCGCAAAATCGCCATTGCCGCAGATAAAATATATAGTCCTTCTTCAGCACCTTTCCTCCTCCGTCTAAAACGGAGTCTTAATTATTTGGCCAAGCATCAGGGAATTCTCGTAATTGCAGGGATATCCTAAAAGGCAAGGGAAGGTGTTTAGTTATTATTCTAAAGAGAAGTTTACAATTAAATAATGCTGCACCTATGTATGTTTAATTATAATTTAATGCTGAAGACAAGGAAAGATTTTACTCTTTGATTTAGCAACAAATAATATATATATATATATAACTAATGATGATCCGCTGCTGTTCCGGGATCTGCACTTGATGTTGCTGTGTGCACCAAGGATTCTGGCACTCTGACACGCGCACACACAGGCTCATGGAGGACACACAGGACATAACCGGGGAACCCTAAAATGCAAATCGTGCTGAATTGCATTTTTCAACCAAAACGCTTGGAGAGGCGCTTCCCAGAAACTGACCATTGGCCATAACCCGGAGTTTCAGCTTCAGCTCCTGTTCCTGTTCCTGTGCGAGGCGTTGATAAATGTGTGTGTATGTTGGGGGAGGGCGGAGGGCGGAGTGTGGAGTGTGGCCAAAAAGGAGCTGGGGATCTGGAATCCTGTATCCTGGACCCAGGGCCAGTGTCAGTGCCACTGCTGATGCCGTTAAGTGCGACAGAAATCCACTGAGCCGCATAAAACGAAAGCGTGAAAATGCCGCCAGCGGCCTGCTAATAGAGGAGTCCCCATGTTCCACTCGCAAGGACATTGGCGGTACATAACGCCTCACACCCACCCACCCACACATGGCCTGGGCCATGGCATTCCACTGTGGCCGGCATTTTTGGATCATTTTTCTTAGTTTTTGTTGGCTTCGGTGGCTTCTTCTTCGGTGGCAACGTTGTTGACAATTTGTCGACGTGTCAAAAGAGTCAACGTGAATGTGACAAGTGACGCTGACGAGACAGCCGCTCCATTTCCACACCCTTTTCCATTTTCCAGCTCCTCGTCCAAAGTTCCAAGCCCTGCTCCTTTTCCTCCTCCCTTTTCCGTTTCTTTTTCACTTGTCAACTGATCCATCGAAGGCATGGTTTTATCCAAAACTATATCCTGAAAAAGAAAACTAAGTTA